CAGCCAAAACAGGCTCAGGACCTTCACAGGAATCCGGTAGGCAGTGGGTCTTTAGGCACTTTCTGGGAAAAAAATCTAAGCCAGGAAATACTGTAAAAGTCTTGCTCCAGTCAGATGCAGTGGCATGTGCCTGTAATTCCAACTACTCAGGAGGCTGAAGCAGGATAATTACAGATTGAAGGGATTTAGAGAGATCCTGTCTCAAAATGAAAAGAGCTAAGGGTACAGCTCAGTGGTACAGCAAGCCTGGGTTCAGTGACCAATATCCGGATACATGGACTCACCAACAGCATCAGTTCAGCAATCCCCCTGCCTGAGGCTCCCAAGAGCTGGGATTTCAGGTATATACCATCATACCTAGCTACAAAATCAACCATTTTAAAATGAACAGTACAACCGGGCATGATGATGCATGCTTGTATTTCCAGCACTCAAGAGGCTGAAGCAGAAGGATTTGGGGGCCAACCTGGGCCTCATATTGAACTCAAGGCCAGCCTAAACTATACACTGAGACGTTATCTAAAAAAAATAAACAATTTGCAATGGCATTTAATGCATTCACAACATTGGGCACCCACTACCTCTTTCTTGTTCAGGAACATTCTCATCATTTCAAAAGAAAATCCTGTAGCCATTAAACAATCACTTCCCAGTCCCTCCTACCTCCATCTCTAGACAACTACTAACTTGTTTTAATCTTCATGAATTTGCCTATTCTGGACATTTCATATGAGCAGAATCACATAATATATAATTTTTCATAATAGGCTTATCTCACCTAGAGTAATATTTTTTGAGATTCATCCACACAGTAGCATATGTCAGGACACCATTTGTTTCAGGGGCTGAGTTAATAAAAACCCCACTGTATGGATACATCACAATTTTGTTTATCAACTTGTCCACTGGAGGACATTTGGGTTATTTCTACCTTTTGGCTATTCTGAACAGCTGCCAAGAACATAGGTGTACAATATGTTTTATGAGGAAGGCCTATTTTATGGTCAGAACTTTTTTTTCCTTTATTTTTGGGGTACTGGGAATGGAATTAGGGCCTCAGGCATGCTAGGCAAGTGTTCTGTCACTGAGCCACATCTCCAGCCCTCATAGTCTCCATTTTTCTTAAACAACCTATTCCATAGCATCTGCTGTCCTTCCTGCCTTGTCACAGCTGGGTCCCCTTCAAGGTGCAGGTAAGTGGACTCTCATCTCAGGGACTCTCCTTCCAGGGCAGCTCTTCCCCCATCATGCTCCATATTTTCTAGTGCTTCTACCCTTCAGTGAGTGATCTGTTTTCTTAGTTGCTTGATGGTTGGCTCAGATTCCCCAACTACATAGGGATTCCATGCGGTTAAAGACAGCCTACTCATCCACCATGATGTCCTTGGGGCCAGTACCTTTGATAACTTCTGGCTGAAAGAGTGCACAAACTTGTGGGGCCCTTCCAGCCACTGTCCCAATATATCAAGAATCTCCCCCCGCAAAAAAAAAAAAAAAAATACAAAAAAAACATGGTAGGTGGCTTCCCAAACTAAAGTATCAGGAGGCCTTTCCACTGTCCCTACCACACCCTGGGTCATGGCTGAGGCAACACAGAAGGGTCTCTTGAAATTTGTAACCTGGCTGCTTTCAGTGGGAAAAGGACCACCTGGACAGGCAGGCAAAGTAAAAGGGGCTTGGGCCTAGAGGAGGGCCTCTACATGGGGACCTAATTAATTTGAAGTTACTCAGGCTCCTCTCTCACCTGGGTTCTGACCCCCTCCTACACCCCAGAACATCCTTAAACCTGGCTAGGGTGACAGGTCCCACCCCTATCCACTCTGGGGCATATGGACTAGGAGAATAAAACATTTCCCCAAAGCACCCATCCTCAGGTGAAGTCACTAATAGGTGCTACAGACTTCACCCTGGGAGGCAGTTTCTCCTTTCCTGCCCTGCACAGCCTCCTTAGGAGCCTCAACCTGGCCCTCCAGTCTCATCCACTCTGACATAGAAAGCCAGCCCAGTTTTGGGCAGAAGGACCACCCAAAACCAGGGGCTCATGCTGGCCTCCGTGACCCATTTCCAAGGCCAATGAGGCAGGCAGCATGACCCAGGACCCCCTCTGCAGAAGCAGACTCCTACCCCAGGATGAGGATTCACAGTTTAAGACACTGAGACATTTGGTATTTGGGGGAGACTGAAGCACTTAGAGCCATCTGCAAGTGGAAGCCCCAGAGCAAGAACACTGTGTTCACCCCACCCCATCCTCACCATCCTGTAGGCCCTCAACCCAGACTTAGAATCTGGGGCTTAGTGAGTCCCCAAAAGTAGAAGCAGCCTCCTCCCCAGGATTCTCCAACCCCTTTCCTGTCTCCAGGGCTATGAGGACTCCCAGGTCCCCCTGAGGGGTGAAGGGGACCCAGCCCCCTTTCCTCTAATGGTCAGGACAGGAAGAAGATAATTGAATCAGTACTTCGCACCCCATCTAAAACATTCCAACATGGAAAACCCATAGAGCAGCTGGGGAAGCAATTTAGAGATTTTAATTAAAGGCTGATGACTCCCCCAGGGAGCCCTACCCCCCAATGCAGCCCCAGGACCCAGTACATCTGCCTGCAGTATGTTCTCAGGCACAGCTGGGAACCTCACGCAGGGTGGTGCCCTCAGGGATGAGCTTCTACTGGGTGGAGCAGACAGAACAAACCAGTCCACCCTTCCTCCCTGCTGCCTCCAGAGTGGGCCCCATGAAGCCTGGGCCCAGGGACAGCAAAATCCCCAAAGCTCTGCACCCAAGGGTTCTAGAAGAGGGAAAATGGGTCACTTCAAAGGGTTGAAAACGGAACTCTAGGGCCGAAGATATAGCTCAGTAGCATAGTGCCTGCCTGGTAGCACAAGGTCCTGAGTTCAATTTCCAGTGCCAAAGAAGAAAAAAGGAACTTTAAATGCAGAAGCACAGCTGCCCTGCTCAAGAGTGCTGCCACCTCCATCTGTGCCTTCTGTAGGGAAAGGCACTACACACTGTGTGAAGAGTCTGTGAGGCTGGAAAGGGTATAGTAGGTAGAGGAGCTGGTGGGAATGTGGGGTTGAAGGGACCATGCAGGATTGGACAAGGTCTGGAGGCCCTTAACAGCTGCAGGAGGGCATCTGGTTTTTATCCTAGAAACAATGAGGTGGAGCTGGGATCTGTCCTATCCTGAAGATACTCCTCTAGCTGTCATTTGAAGAGTACTGTAGAACAAAAGAGGGGCCAGGTGACAGTGGGGGCCCTGAGACTGTCCAGATACAAGTAGGGTATGTCCAGGGAGAAAGAGATAAGCATGGACTGAGTTAGGAACTGGGCCAGGTATCAGGGCTGTCCTGTTTCTCTACTGCCCTTGGTGCAGAGTACAGGGACAGAGTCATCAAGTCCTATACTCACCACCCAGCAGAGTCCTCAAGGGGAACCTGTCTCCTCCTCACTTGGGAACTGTAAATTAGGCCAGCCCTTTGCCCCTACCCATGACAGAGGTCAGAGTCAGGGGAGAGGCTGTGTATTCTGGGGGCCACAGTCACCCACTATGTCGAAACTGCACTATTCAGTGAGTACAGGGAGAGGCATCCATGATCAGTTCCCAGCCATGCCACTAGCCTGGCCTGGGATAAAGAGGCCTAAGGACAATGCCAGCCCCTACAAGCAGCTCCAGGCAAGTGTCTGCTGGGCAGAGAAACTAGCAGGAGTGGAGATGAGGCACTGACAGCCAGAAACAAACAACCCCATATGTGCCTTTTCCTTCCATTAGCCTCTTCCATGACACTGACATTAACTGACCCAGATGGGATCATATGACAAAGAGAGGATGGGGTATCTGGTGGGGGCACTGGCTCCAATGGAGCTTGATGGTCAGATGAAGCAGCCGAGGCTGACAGGATTCCTCCATCCCCTGCAAATCCTTCCTCACTGCCTGTGTTCCTGTGAACCAGGACATGGAGTAGCCCTAAGAGGCTCAGAGGTAAAAAGGGCAATATCAGGGCATGAAAGCCAAGGAGTTTCTCAGGGTGCACAGACCATGGCCAGGCCCAGTGGTACGCCTGAGACAGGGCAGGTGTATGGGGCTGACCTAACTAGCCTCAGAGATCATTATCAGACAGCTAGTGGGCACTGTTAGACAACTGTGGCCAGGAGCAGGTGAGAGCCATTACTGATAGGGCCCCCATGTTTAGAGGAGAGAGGTGGAGGGGTTCCCCAACCTTCCCAAGTAAGGTCTGACTTGGCTAAGAATGGACAGCTGGGCTATACATGGGACTGTTCCTGCCCCCACCTGGTAAAGGATGCAAGGAAAGGCAGCAGACCTGGCTCAAAGTGAGGTCAGGAGGGGGTGTGTCAGTGGGCTGGCCTGGGAGTGAGGTCAGGTGCAGGTGGAGAAAGCTTGTCCTGAGCAGGCAGAGGGTCAGGCTGTTCAGGAACAGCTTGAAGGCTGTTGGAAGCACTGTCCCACACACCAAGTCACCTGCCAAACACTACTGCCCAGGAGCTCCACAAGGCCTGTAGTAAACAATGTCCACTGGGTACCAGGACATGGAATTAACTGAGGTCCCAAGGTGTGCCACATAACAACTGGCCAGATCCGACTTTTTTTCTTCTTTTGTCTTTTTCCTTTTTATCGGTACCGGGGATCGAACTCACGACTGCCTATTTGCAAGGCAGGTGCTTATGCCGCTGAGCTAAATCCCCAGCTTAATCCTGTTCCACCACTCAGGAACAACCTCCAGCCTCATTTTCCTTGTCCGGATATGCAGATAACCATGCTAACCTTCCAGGACTGAGAAGAGGTGGAAGACAGGCCCCAGAGACACCAGGACTAGGCTACATCCACCAGGCAGGCCCTAAGTCTCTCTGAGTTTCTCATGCTCATCTGTGCCATGTGATGAAGTGCATGGCCCACCTCCGAGGACATGTAAGGAATGGTTTTGGCATGACACCTGGCCCATAGAGTTAACTGGCACAGTATCACTTCCCCCAAACTCAAGGTCAAGTGAAAGAATTTGGATCCAGACTTTATTTCTTAAATATTCTCTCCCCAGAGCATGTGTAGGGAAGCTGCTCTGGCCAGTGGGCAGACATAAATTAAGGTTCCAAGCATCCAAGGCAGGGATAGCTGAGCCTTGCTTAGTCCCAGCCAAAGTCCTGGCCAGTCATCTGGTAGAACTTTCGATTGAAAGGCCTGTAGAAGTCCTGAAGACGCTGGACCACGGCCTGAGGCACGTGGGGGTGGGGCCTGCCCTTGGACTTGCCCAGGCAGCGGGGACGGCTGCTTCCCTGAGCCTTCTTGAGGCAGGGGAAGCCCTTGGTGGCATTGAAGTAGAAGTGCTTGTCCGTGACAACCCGTTTGAGGCCCAGAAAGTCCTGCACCCGTCCGACCTCTCCAGCTGGGTCACTCACCAGCCGCTCTCCACTGACAAAAAGGAAGTGGGACAGAGGAAAGTAATGCAGCCAGTTGTCCAGGTGCTGGGCATAGAGACCAATACGCACAGCACTCCAGGCTGTGTCCACAGGGCCAAGGCCATGGCGGAAGGCCAGGGCACGGAAGCTGGGCAGGCCTGGGGTCTTGGAAAGTGTCTGAGCATAGTCAGAGATGGCCCGGGTCACTGGGTTCCGTACCACCACAATCAGCTTCGTGTCTGGGGACATGCTATGAATTCGATGAGGGGCTTCCCGCGTCACAAAGTAGCTGGGTGTCTTCTCCATGGTGATCTGCCCATCCAGGGTACGTGGCATCAGGCTCCTGGGGGCAATGGGAGGAGTAGACTGAGTGGCCGCTGCTCTTGAGTAAGTACTTCTATGGAGTGACCCCTCTCACCCTAGACCTGGAACTAGACCCTCCTCTCCTAGAAAGCCCCAAGTCCTAAAGTGTATCACTTTCCTCCCCTTCAAGTCCTTCTTCCCAAGTACGGGATGAACACCCTCAGAGGTAGGAAGCCTGAGAGATAAGCTAGGAAATGCCAGCCTAGCGCAGGCCTGCAGAGGGCCCTACTAACCAGGCTGCCCCTATTTGTGCTATCCATGGGAAAATGGGGTGACAGAGGTGACCAAGGCACTTTTCACCAGTCACTTGTGTTCCCTGTACAAGCCCTATGTCCCCTTTCCCCAAAGGCCCTCTCCTTTGAGTCCCAGCAACTTCTGCCCACTTCTACCCCTCCTGGAGCTGCTTGCTGAGCCCCCAACCTTGACCTTGCTGTCTCTCCCCAGACCAAATATTCCAAGGTCAGCTAGCTTGGACTTGTTACCCCACAGGCCTCTGCACTATAGATCACTCTAGGTCACCCTTTCACTCAGTGACTGACAGCGTCTCCTGAACTAGGTCATCAATTATTGACAAATGTTGCCAGCAAAGAGTATGATTCTCCTCTGCTTCTCTCCCCTTAATTTAATTACATCTCTTTTCCCACCGTCAACTGTAGCCCTGCTAATTCTCATTCACCTGGGCCCAATTCAGACCAACAAGACCCACCCCTTGAGCCCAGCACATTTGAGAAAATTAGTGAAATAGCTCTAATCTGCCTGGTGATAGGTCCCAAGGCCCTGTGCTTCCTCAGTCCCAAGATGCCAGGTGGAGGACACAACATTGCTAAAATTGCCCTCATTCTTACATGGGGGAGGAAGAGGGCTCTGGCCTACCTAAGGTCCAGAAAGAGTTGGCTGACCACAGCCCCCTGACTGCTCCTAACCTGAGGAAGCCCATCCCAAGTGCCCAGCTGGACAGGCCCAGGCATGACTCATGCTGTCTTGAGGCAGCACCTGCCAGCCAGGTAGTACAGGGTGAGGTCGGGCAGGGTAAGACAGCTGAGCAAACAGCTCCAAGGGATGGCTGGGAAGTAGGTCAACAGAGACAGAGACTCTGTGGCCTGTTCTAGGGAGGAGATGTCCCTGCTCAGCCATGCCCAGCCCTCCCCAGCCTTGCTCCCATCATCTGAGGAGGGTACTCCCTGACCCTGCTTACAGGCCCAGGACTGACCCAGCTGAGAGATGACAAGCCCAGTCTCAGCCAGCCTAACTGACTCGCTCCCTGATCAGATTCCCCAAGGAAATTCAGGCCAGACATAGGTGCACAGTCTGCCATGCTGGCATCAGACTGGGGGCTGCTGGTGGTGAGGCAGGAAGATGTATGCACGTGCCCCTACTAGGCAAAAGGGAAAATTGGGAATGTCAGAATCCCCAATATCACCCATGGTGACAGCAGGATGGTGGCATGGAATGGAATCTCCCCACCTCTTAGATCAAAGCCTGGGGCAGAGCTGATCTTCAGAAATCAAAGACAAGAATTCAGTTTTCTCCATCTTGGTGACACTGTGAGCCAGAACCACTCTCTACCCCAACCCACTGTCCCATTTGATAGGCAAGTATACTGAGGCTCAGAAAAAGAACAGGAGGGACTGAAGATGGGCATTGACTCTTCTTGGCCTTCTTTCCTGTCATCTTGACAGTAGGTACCTGTGTGGTTTATGCTCCCAGAATCCCTCTCCTCCATGCCCTACCTTATGTATTGGAAATCCAATGGGGACAACACCCAACTGTCTGTGGGGAAAGTTCAAAAAGACCTTAGACTGTCATGGGCCAGGGCTGTAAGTTGGCAGGGCCAGCCAGCTCAGGAGGCCTCCCTTTCCCTGAGGGAAGTCATAAGAAGGAGTCTCCCCACACTGGACCCTATCACTGAGACCTACATAAGAAGCTGATGCTGGTGTTGGAAGAGGTGTATGCACCCCAGGATTCACCAGAATGTATCACTCCTTCCTTCATCTTCCCAGGGAAGTAAGGAGCCCCAGGTCTCCCAGACACCTCCCTCCAAGGTTTGACTTGCCTGGAAACCCAATCTCTTTCTTTCCCTGACTGAAAGCCTGATTCTGACTGTCCCCAACACCACCCTTTTTCTGGGAGCCCTGATGTTATCCCTATCTTCAGCCTTTCTCTCTAGGAAGTCAGAAGAGCAGAGCAACCCCAAAGAGGGAGGCCTCTCCTGACATGCCTGCCAAGGAACAGGATGGAATACAGAGAGGGCACAGGACTTCCTAGGCTCTCAGTTGCCACAAGCCTGCTCTGAGATCTTTGGGATCAATTACTTAACCTCCTCAGTCTTCAGGAGCCTGTCCCAACTGAGTTTGGAAAGTGAGAACAGGCACCTTTGGGGGTGGCAGAGACTAGGGAGAGGATAAGCAGAATGAAACTCTGACCCCACGCAACAAACATCTGACAAGTTGTTCCAAAGACCCTCCCTCCCCCCTGAACCACCTCATCTGGTCTGCATTTCCCTGCGGTTTCCAGCCAGCCTTGGGCTACTCTTCCCTCCTGCATCTCAGGACCCCCATCCATGTGCTATATACCCTGCCTGGGCCTGGCCCAACAAGGCCTTGGACCTGCAGAAAATCAGTTATCATTTTTATTCCACTGCTAGAAAGTGCTGGAGGAGCCTGTCCCTAGCCACAAGAGAAGATATGGTCCACAAAAGCCCAAGTCCTGACCTACATGCATGAACCTATTCCCTGCTCTGACACTGGGGATTAAGACGGCTTCCATACCCACACTTCCTAAATCTCATCTTTCTTTCTTTCTTTTCTTTTCTTTTCTTTTTTTCTTGTAGTCAGGGTCTCACTATATAGTTCAGACTAGCCTTGAACTCACAGCCTTCCTCTTGCCTCGGTCTCTCAAGCTCTGGGATTACAGGCCTGTGCCACCACATCTGGTTTCCTCTTGCTTTTCTAGGGTATTATGGTCAAAGTTGAGTCCCCACCTGACCCAAAATGGAGCACCTCTTCCAGATTAAGACACTGGTGTTTTTGTGTAACCATAGTACCTAGCAAATAGTGGGTGCTCAGTGATGAGTGAACAGGTAAGCAGGTACTGAGCTGGATGGTACTCAAGGCCATAGTCTCTAAAATGAAGTACCTTCGAGAGCTTGAAAGATAAACAGTCTAGGAAGGGGGAATAATTGGGCTAAAGGCAACAGAGGACCTAGATAGGGCAGAAGATGGCCATCGTCATGGTCACTCTCTGGAATGAGCTGGGTCACAACCCAGTGAGTTGTGGAACAGTGTTCCAGAAACTCACCTGGAGACCTGGCTACTCTCTCCATCTGCCTCCCCAATTCCCCAACTCCCCAACTCATACCTAGGCTCTCTTCTAGGTGCTATGGGCTCACACCAGGTCCTGCAACTAGAAGAAATGAGGCTGAGGTGAGCATTTTTCAGGTGCTCAGGACATGCTCATGGTAGTTAAAAAGATAGCAGGCATGTGAGCAGAGCAGCCTCACATTCGCATATATCAGCACATGGCCACGCCCTCTGAAGACACCAGGACACACAGACCAGAAGCTCTGTCATCACACTCAATATGTTGTATACTGGATGAATGGGACAGAGGCCACAGAACCTGATCCCTCCACAAGCATCCTCTGCATCCCTCCACTGGAGACAGATTCTACAGATGAGGAAATTAAGTCTCTTCTCAGCAGGGTTGCACTGTCTGGAACACCTTCACTCCTGTCCTTGGCATGTCAGTGTTTCCAAGATCCCCTACCCAGGGTTGAGGATCTGCCCCAGTATGGGCCTCACCTACCCTAGAGTCTTTCCCAGAAAAGCAATGGCCCAGAGTGGGCCTGGAGAGTCTTGGAACCTTGATGTGTTGAGAAACTTTGCGGACCAAACTCATCCTCATTTCCCTCAGCCACTCTACTCAGCACAGATCACACTCAGCAAGTTTTGAAGTTTGCATTCCATAAAGCATTCTTCTTTGACTCTCTCCTCTCTCTCTTTTTCTGCCTCCCTCTCATCACCCAGGTGGCCAGTGGTTTCTGCCAGAAGCCTGAGCTGAAGACTGCCCCACAATGGAGTCAATTTCCCCCACCATGCTCCGTTTCTCTAGCACCCACACAACACTAACCCTTCAGAGTTCAGGCATCAGATCCCCTATTCTCCCTCTGGAGGCCCAGTCTTCTTAATGCAAAAGACAAAGTTAACAACTAGACAAGGGATGGATCTGGGAATAGAGAAAATGATGCATTGGCAGGAAGGGGTTCAAGGGCCTAGGTCTTAGCAGGTGAGGTGGTGCTCACCTGCAATCCTAGCTTAGAGGCAGGGAGCAGAGCCTGGCTGAGCCTCAGTGCCCAGTTCATCAGAGAGGGGCTGGTATTTGACTAGCCATCAAAGCAGATTGCTTATTGGGGTAGGATGCTCTTCGCATTCCACTGCCACACCCTTGGTCCCTCCTGGGTGGAGCACAAGGCAGCCACAGAGCCTGTGCTGGATAGATCTAGCCTGGCTAGATCCCATTCCCATGCCTGAGCATGCACTAAAGAGCAAAGCTACTTTCTACAGCCCAGACCAAACTTTCTCCAGACTCCAGCAGTCAAAAAGTCCTCTCAGGAGGGAGGCAGGGATTATGGGGTGAGAAGAGACACTTTTCAGGATCCTGCAGGGAACCTGGACACTCCTTCCTAATGTAACTAGCCACAAGTCAGATGACCAACCATACAAGCCCAAAGTGAGGATGCAGGGCGAGACCCCCAACAGAACCTGCCTGAAGTGATTCTAACACTACCAAAAGTAATGTCACTATTTCCCCGTTGGGGTCACACCTTTCCCTCAATCTTGCCAAGTCCCTTGGTAGACCGAAACAGGCATTCCTCGGAGTTTCCAAAGTTGCTGAGGCTCCCCACCCCCACCTTGCCAGTACCTTTGCTTTGGGGGCCCAGTGCCTGGGAGCAAGCCTAACTCCCTACACAGTCTGGCCTCAATCCCAGAGCCCAGGACTCTTCCCCCACTAGATCCCACCACCGAATTTCCGTGGAAGCCCAAAAGGGGAAGATGGGCAGGGCATTTACCTGTACCAGGCGAGGCCGCGCTCATAACACCTGTCGAAGAAATGGGGCTCGGAGCCAAGCGCACGGACGTCGGGGTGCAGCCGCAGGAACTCCAGCAGCGCTCGCGTGCCGCCCTTCTTCACTCCCACGATAAGTGCCTGCGGGAAGCGCTGGCGGCCTGGGTCGCTGGCCAAGGTCAGACGGTGTGCACCCGGCGGCTGGGTCGGAGCGGGGGCCGGCGTGGGAACGCGGGCGACTGGCGGGCAGCGTCCGGAAAGGGCGCAAAGACAGTAAGCGCCAAGCCCTAGCGCCAGGAGCGCGAGGGGCGCACGGAGCGCCCCCAGGACGGCCCCGGGTCCAGCCCCGGCGCCCGGGCTGCCGCTATCTGCCATGGAGTTGCGCCGCGCCCAGATCCGGGGATGAGAGCTGAACAAGAGCGCACATCCCTGCCGGCGCCCTACTCAGCCCGCGGACGCCGGGCTTCTGTTCAGCGCCCTCCAACCCGCCGCTAGGCAGCGGGCGGGCGGGGGCGGGGCGGGCTCCGAGGCGGGGGAGGGGCGTCCCGGCCCAGTCTGGGATTCTCGGGCACCGGCGGACAGCCCGCGCTCCTGCTGCGAGACCTGGGCTGCTGTTCCACATCGGAGATGCGGAAGCCAGCAGGGACTCGAGGTGGAGAGAAGGCTGCGCGCTCACCCACAACCTCCCCGTAGAAGGCTCACCCCGCATGCCTTCGAGATAGGGGCGCCTTGCCGAACCTGGCCTCGCTCGAGGGGGGGCCTCAGCGCTGAGCCAAGTAAGCCAGCAAAGCTCGCAGACCCAGGAGAATGAGGCCAGGCCAGCAGCCTAGTGCGTACAGTGCTTGCTCCCTATCTGTCGGGCGACTGCGATAGGCACCTTGGACTCCAGCAGACAGTCAGCCTAGCCATCCTGCAGGGTCCGGGTTCTGCCTCTGGGAGAAAGCTAGTGATGTCCGGTTAGCACTTTACAGCTCCAAGACTCTCTGGTCAGAGAGCCCTCCATCACGGCCTCCCTAGCGCCCAGGGACCAGTCAGACTTATCTTCTGACCAGCTCCACACCACACATGCCTAGCCGAGCTGACCTGGTGATACCTTGGAATGCAGTGGGCTCTGCAGTAAGTTGGCAAAGAGGCTCCACCTGGACTTGTGAAGGATTCAGGAAGGCGTGTGCCTCAGGGCAGAGACTGAGGAGTCTCTCATGGCCATGGCACCGACACCGCAGGGGCTTCCCACCTCACCCTGCATAGCCAGCAAAGAAAGTGGAGGAGTGGACTGAGGCTTAGAGAAGGTGAGCTGCTTGTCCATCCCAAGGGAAAGGTGGATTTGTGCTTGGAATCTCTCTCTCTCTGCCTTTTCTCAACCTTCCTGGCAGCAGGCTTGATGGTAACCCTGCGCAGACACCAAGTCTCTTTCTGTCCTGGGTTCTTCTCACTAATGAGCCATTCTTGGGACTAATGGCCTCTGGACAAATCCCAGCAGCCCCGGTGACTGAGAAACAGAGGACCTTCATGGCCCAAACATTTCCAGGGCTCCCACTAGAGGCATCTCTGGCTGGAGGGGGCCACACAGGATCAATGAAGTGAAGACCACTGCACGGTCCCCCAGATCCCAGATGCCAGAGCTGCACCTGCTTGCTAGGGCAAGCCTCAACCAGCACCTATGTGGGCGAGTTGTTGGCACAGCACTGTGTGGTGAGCATGCTGGCACATGCAGAGTCCCAGGAAGTTCTTATTTGGGTCTAGCTTAACCTGGAATTTGTTCCAGACAGGCTAGTTCTCCTCAAAGCCCTGCTGGGCAAGTCCCGCCCCAAACAGCCTGAGCAGTCATTGCTCAGGACTCCAGATTCCTGCATTCATTCCCTGGTGACCCTCCACCCACTATCCCAGAGCGGACTAGTATTTCCATTGCCTGGCCTTGGTTCTGCCCTTCACCCTGCCCTTTACCTCAGCTGCTGAGGGTCAAACACTGTCCAGGAGGCACTGACCAGAAGGTAGGTGGGTAGAGGTCCAGATGGGAGTCAGTCTGGAAAGGCTAGGAAGTTGATCTTCCCCCATCTGTCTGGCTCTCTGGTGAGGATGGGTGCAAATCTGTGAATGCCTAGAATGATAACCTGGAGTCTGTTTCACCAAGGTATTTCCAGCACTTAACCCAGAGCCTGGCACCCATTAGGCACTCAATAAATGCAGGTCAGAGGAAGGATATGAAAGAGGGAGAGGTAAACCATGGAGGAAACCATGGAGGTTTCCTGAAGGTGCTAGTCAGGTGAGAAGAGCATTCCAGACAGAGGAAATGTCAGGGTAAAATCTTTGCTGCAGGAGGGGTCACCTCAAGCTCATCCCTGGGTAGCAGGTAGAGTCCAGCCTGAAGCTGGCTGCAGCCCATTTTCCTCTAGCCATATGGCTTCAGTCTCTAGCCAATTCTGAGTCTAGTTCTTTCTTTGTAGAAGGGAGCATTCGATCCTGACTGAAGAGCCATTTTGACAACAGCTTTATTGAAGTGCAATCCAGGCTGGGGATTTAGCTTAGTGGCATAAGTGCCTGCCTTGCAAGCAGGCAGTCGTGAGTTCGATCCCTGGTACCGATAAAAAGGAAAAAAGACAAAAAAAAAAAAAAAAGTGCAATCCACGTGCCATACAATTTAGAACTCTGGTTCCTGATACAATATTTGTAATGTGGTACAATAATGGCTACATCTACTTTTAGAACATGTAAGTCACCCCCAAAACAAACCAGACACCCATTAGCAGTCACTCCATATTCTCTTTCCCCTCAAAGGCCTTGGCAATATTGATACCTGCTTTCTGCAAGTTCTGGAAATGTCCATACTATGCTTAGTGACTGAAGTTCCTCTGTGTTGCAGCTGATGTCAAGGCTTTGCTCCTTGTTGTGGCTCAGTGCCATTCCTTTGTGTGATGGACCACACTTTGTTTATCCATTTCTCCACTGAAGACCATTTGGGTCAGTCCTATTTTTCAGCTATAATGATTAATACTGCTGAATGGTCACATACAGTGCTGAGTGTTTGGTTCTTGGTTGGGAGAGACTGGTTTTTTGTTTGTGATTTTTTTTTTTTTTTCTTTTTGAGACAGGGTCTCATTCTGCAGTTCAGGCTGACTTCATAATGATCCTCCTGCCTCAGCCTCCCGAGAAGATTTGTGATTTTTTTTAGTCAGACTTGCCTTGTAGTTCTGGCCAGCATTCAACTTCCTAAGTTGCCCAGGATAGTCTCAAATTTGAAATCTTCCTGCCTCAGCCTCTAAGTGCCGGGATTATTGGTGTATTCCACCATCCCCAGCCATGCACAAGGTTTTGTGTATACTTGTTTCATTTCCTTTTAGGTATATGCCTTAGAGTAGAATTCCAAGGTTTTACCAACACTGTGTTTAATCTAAAGAGTTTCTTTAAAGGTGAGATTTTGGTAATTTCAAAAACTTCCATTTATTCCATGTTCCTCACATACATGGTTACTTTCCTCCCTTCACCCCAGGACATCTGAACAGCTCCTCCACTCTGCTTTTGCCTTGTCTTGCTGTCCAAGCTAGCCCCCCCCCGCCCCAACACACTGGTGGTTCCTTCCTCAGTCACCTAAGGTCAGTGAACTCCTCTCTGTAAGGCACACAACCCTTGGAAGGTCACTTGCCTCTACTCTCTGGTTTGTACCTCCACTAGCCAAAAATGGACATTGACAAATTCTTTCTACCAGCCATCTCCCTTAAATACCCTTTAGGACCCAAGGCCCCTCGTGGAGCTCTCCTAACCCCCCAATTAAAGCAAGACTGCCAGGCAAAGCATGGATCTGTCTACCTTTCTTGGCCTGGCCCTCAGACACCAAGATAGCCAGCATTAGGGGAGTTTGACATCGAGGAGGGGAGACCTGGGAAAGAAGAAAAGGTGAGCTTCTCAGGCTGTCAGGCCAGATAGAGAGATGGGAGAAGTCTGAGGAGGGAGTTCTGGAGAGTGAGAGCATGGTGGAAGGGAGGACCAGGACGGCTTGAGCTATTCTTGGGACTAATGGCCTCTGCTGGGACAAATCCCAGCAGCTCTGGTGACCACTGAGGAACAGAGGACCTTCATGACCCAAATATTTCCAGGGCTCCCACTAGAGGCATCTCTGGCTGAAGGGGGCCACACAGAGTCAATGAAGTGAAGACCACTGCATGGTGCCCCAGATCCCAGATGCCAGAGCCTGCCCTAGGTGCAGAACCCAGGACAGAAAGAGGCTTGGTGTCTGCCGTAGGGTTGCCACAGGATGGCGTTACCTCTTGACAATGGTAATCATTTTTTTTTTCTTTCTTTCTTCCTTCCTTCCTTTCTTTCTTTTTTTTTTTTTTTTTTTTTTAACCAGGGATCAAACTCACAACCTTACACTTGCCAGGCAGGAGCTTATGCCACTGAGCTAAATCTCCAGCCTTTGCAATCATTCCTTTGATAGTGATTTTTTTTTTCTTTTGATACTGGCTTTCACACTGGGCTACATCCCTCGCCCTTTTTCTTTTTTCTTTCTTTGAGACAGGGTCCTACTAAGTTGCCCAGGCTGAGCTTGAACTTGTATTCCTCTGCCTTAGCTTCTGAGTTCTGGGACTACAGGCCTATGCCACTATGCTGGGTTCAAAGGTGATTTTCATTCCTATCAGTTTCCATCTCCCCATGGAGCTGGCCAAAGGTAGAAATGGGCTTAGTCTCAACCCCTACAGTGCATATACTTCTATATGCACTGTCTGTCTGTCTGAGTCTGTCCCCATCCCAGGTTGGGCCACCCAGTCAAGGCTCACACACCACTCCAGAAAGTGATTACCAATACTGTGCAGATCTTCCCACCTTGGGGTGATGGGTAGGGTGATCACACACACAGGAGCTCCAGAAACTCCGTCCTTCAGAACCATACCCTTCTTTACCCCCGAGACCCACCCCTATATGTCTGCAGAACCAGAGGGGTGGGGGCTATGGCTGGAGGGCTAGCCCAGCTGTCCTTGATTTATGTGGGGTTTTTCCACTTTGGATGCCAGATTTGCCCAAGCACATAGATGATGTGGTTCCCAACCAGAGAGGGGCCCCTAAAAGAGGCTTATCCCCATTGCACTTACTTCCAGAGCCTACAGCCCTCAGTTCACCTCAGTGGGGAATGAAGAGGAACAGGAGCTATCACTGGGGAGAAGATAATGCAAACAGCTAGGGCTCTAGAGGCTACCTTTGCCCTCTTTTAGTAAGTGACCTGTGCAGGGATCCAGCCTTCTGGCTCTCTCTCTCTCCCACTTTTTTAAACAAAATTAATACCAGCCCTTACCTCCCTGAGTGCCTGCCCCCTACAGACAAGGAAGCAGAGGACATATGGCAGCGAAAACAGCATAAGAACATGTGCCCCAGAGCTGTGCTCACCCTGAGGAACCTGCCTTCCTTGGAGACAAGACTAGAGGAAAAAGTTTTCCATGCCTTTCTCCTGGTGACTCAGGGACACAGGCAGAGTAAAGAAGCATCATGAGGCTGGTCAGAGTTTGTAAGGCCAACAAGAATCCCTGGCAGATTCTTGTCAGAGGGAGAAGGGAAACAGTTCTCATGTACAGGAGAAGGGAGACATGATTATCTTCCCCTTCTCAGCAGCCAGGCCCACTCACATACTTACAGGGAGCCAGTCTGCAGCTACAAGGGTGCAGAAGGAACCAGACCTTCTCTGCAGAGGCATAGCCTGGCCCACTTCTGTCCCCCAATACATCACACACACACACACACACACACACACACACACACACACACACACACACCTTCTGCTTTCCCATGGTCTCCCGGAAGAAACAGCACAGAGGGAGGCAGGCTCCCAGGACACATAACCAGCCCTGCACACTGCTTCTTGTGCACTGACTGACCTGGGCCAGCTCATTTATAACAGTTGTGAATCTTCTTCTAGACTGGTAGCCCGGCTCTGAGGACAAAAGGGCCGATAACAGCCTATATTCCAGAGTGGGGAGGTCCAAAGGAGAACTAGAGGAGGGGCCCAGAAGCAATCTTCTTTTGCCTTACCCCATACCCACCTCCCCCAGTTTCAGGGCCCCAAGCCCTAAATCTCTGGGCATAGACATATGTCAGCACCATGCTAAAGGATGGGCATTATCCATGGGGCCCCACATCAAGATCTGGGGCTCTGCAGCCAGGTCTGTGCAACCATGCCCTGGTAAGGATCCTCATGGCCTGCAAGGTGGCCAAGAACATGTTACCAACATCAGGATCCCATGCTCTAAAGACAACACAGGAGCACATGTTCCTGTGAACGTGGGGGCAGAGATAGAGGGGTCTAGAGGCCTGCAACCAGGTCCCTGTCACCTTCCACCAATGTAGAAAGCCCACAGCTTGTATTTCCATACATACCAGCATTGGGGCCAGTGAGCTCATTCTGAAGAGTAAGTCCAACCTGTTCAGTGAACAGATCCCCACAGAAGGCCACTCCACCCACAACAGACAACCATGTGGCCAATTGTGTTTGGCTCGATGCTCAGAAAGACCCCAAGCCCAGAGCTCAATGCAGAGCCTTGTGGCATAAGGACTTCAAAATTTTCAGCTGGGCATGATGGTATATACCTATAATCCCAGCACTCAGGAGGCTGAGGCAGGATTCCTGCAGTTTTGAGGCCAGTTTAGGATATATAGTAAATTAAAGGCCAGTCTGGAAAGGGAGACTTTGTCCAAAAAAAAAAAAAAGAAAAGAAAGAAAACCTGTCAATAGGCCCCATCCCTCCTGGCACCTCTTGAGCTGCTGAACTGACTCCATCCCCTTAACCTACACAGTGCTACCCTCAGGCAAACAGTAGGGGCTCCTTGCCCTGAGTTCCAGGATCTAATTAAAAAACTGCGTTCCTGGACTGAGTATGGAGGCCAACGGCTGACCCCACAGGCCCCTAGCAGCCAGCCTGCCAGCTCTGGCACTCTCTCCTCTTGGTGTCTCTGGCCCCCTCCTACAATGCAGCTACCAGGTTCTTTGAAGCCCAAGGCAGCTTGTAAACATCTTTGTTAGAGATGAGACATGATAAGATAGGAAGTCTGGGGTTGAACTATGAATGCTCTGCCTGTTTTATGTCACAGACATGAGAAGAGGTAAAGACTTATCCACAGGTAACCCTCATCCTATCCCAGTAGCCTTCTCTTGCATTGGCACTGAGGCCTTACCTGTGATTCTTTTCCCAGAGCTAGGGTGGCGTGATGGGCTCTGGGGCCCTATGTCCCCTGGATTGTGGACACTCATGCAGATGTATGGTGTCTGGGGTTTCCAGGCAGGGGGTGTGGGTAATAAAAACGTCATTATGGGTCAGTACAGTGGTACTTACCTGTAATCCCAGCACTCTTGAGAGGTTGAAGAAAGAGGACCCCAAATTGAGGCCCAGCCTGGGAAATTTAAGGACTTAGGAAAACCTGGTCTCTAAAATCGGGGGTGAGGGTAACTGACAATGTAACTTGGGTGTGAAGGCCCCGAGTTCAGTACCCGTGCTCTGACTATTGTTGGCAAATATGGCTGAATGAATGGTCGGCAAAGCATCCTCTCGGCTGTAAGAGCTGGGCAGAAGAAGGGCAAGCCAGGTGGCAGTGGAAGGGCCTTAGGCTGTTAGCAGAAGAGGGCACAGGTACACGTAGTCTCACTCAGTCAGCTGGCCAGGGGCTGGGGTGTCCTGCATGCACTCATGCCCCGCACCTCAACAACTGTTTCTACTATCTTTTTCTCTCGCCCTCAAGTCTGTTCCACTCAGCTGACTCAAGAAGCAGCATCAGGGCTTCGACTGCTCACCTTTGCATAAGTCACTTCATGAAGCCCCTAGCAGGCCTGCACTCACAAATGCCAGCAGGCCTCAGAACTGGCATATTGGCAGATGCTTTGAACACTCAGAATTCCCAGGGTGGAGCTGGGCACAGCCACCGGCCTTGTCAGAACCATAGCCACAGTGCCCCTGTTGGTATCTTGTGGAACTGCAGCCTATCCCGAACTCTGTCAAGCGAAGCTACCACACCCCCTGCTGGTCACTCTGCTCTGGTCTCCTGAGGCGGGCCTTCTTACGTTTGGGGGTGGAGAACACATCTTCCCTGAACCTTCAAGACATTCTCTCCCACCTGTCCACTCTGGGACCTGAGTCCCCTGCTACAACCCAGCAAGATCAGGGCTCTCTCCCACTTGTACCCAGGGAAAGAAAAATCGGAAAGGACCGAAAATTCCACCCATCGTCAGCTCACATTCTGCATTTACTGGTACGCCTCTGAGCTGGCCTGGTCCCTAATAGACAGCTCTTCTTTCGCTGTTCTGCCCCCAGCCCCCGATCACCCATCAACCTGGCCCTGAGTATTCTAAACAACTGAGGTGTTTAAAATACCCAATCCTGACCTCCAAGGATGTCCCCAGATGCTCCACACCGCAAAGACTAGAGTACAAGCAGGGAGAGAGGGGCGCTGAGCTGTCAAAGGGCCTTTTGTTTCTCCAAGAGCAACTGACTCCAGGCTAGGCTGGAAGTTGTGGTGCAACTCAGCAGGAGGAAGAAATGGTGTATGAGTAGTTTGATTTCACATGAGATGTTAAAGCCAAAATGCTGTTTTTTCTTCCAGCTGCCTGGCAGGTGGACCTTGCCCACAGCCATCCATTTCCTGGTGCCCTATGTGAGAGGCTCCTGGCCTCATCTGGCCTCCCATATTCTCTAAGGACACTGCTTGCCAGCCCCCACTGAACTTCCCTTTCTAAACATCCCACTTCCACACCCTCCGTGGCTCCTTAACATGGATGTGTAAATCAGTATGGAACAACTGGAATACAGGTAAAACTTTCCCCCATCATTATCCAGGTTCCAGTGACTCCTACTGCATTCAGTTCTTCCCAGTCATGGCTGTGGGTCCCACTAAAGTAGAACAACCGTGGAGCCCTTCAAGGATGCTGGGGATCCCATCATAAACATTTCTCACGTGCCTCAAGATGTGTTTTCAGGTCTGTCTTCTGGGCCCTTCCAAGCAGGTTTTGTTGTTTTTTAAGACAGCACCGGGCCTCACTAAGTTGCTTATCTGCCCAGGCTGGGCTCAAATTTGGAAACTTCCTGCTTCTGTATCCCTGAGTTCTGGGATTACAGGGATGTACTACCAGGCCTTGCTACCAAACTGGTCACGGATGACACATCTATACTAACTTTATAGGCCTCTAACTCCCACTCTACATTAAACCATGGCAAATCTGACATTTCAGTTGCATTTTGTGTAGGTTGCTTATCAATCTGTTGTAGCCAACCAACTATTAGGACTCTTTCTAACCCAGGAACTCCTTCCCTTCTGTCTGGCTCTCTGGCAAGGGTGGATACAAATCTGGGAATGTCCAGGATAACCTGGAGTCTGCTTCACCAAGGTAGTCTCAGAACTGGGCAGCAAAATATTTGCAAAGCAAATTTTAAAAACTGCACAAAGGCCTAATATTCATGCCCATATCCCTGATGTTAATAAAGGTAGTGGGCTGTTCTGGGGATACATATAGCTCAGTGACAGAGTGTTTGTCTGGCTTGTGCACATGCCTGGGTTCAATCCTTATCACTGAAGGAGAAAAGGGTTGCAGATTTTGCCTGTTTATTGATTTCCACAAAGCAGGGGAGGATGACAGGAGCTTCTGGACACTGACACAAGGCACAGTGGCCAAATCTTGGGGAGATATATCTCTGCAAGTGTGAACTAGAGGCAGTGGCCCTATAACCCCTACTGAGTTCATTTCATAATGGCACAACAGCAGCTTTCCCAGCCTGAGTGAAGCAAGCTACATCTGCAGATTGTGAAACATCATCTTCTTCCTCTGCAGATTGCTACAGGATGATGGTTTAGGGTGTGGCTCATTGGCCTGCTCCCCAGCAGGTCACAGATCATCACCACCCTGACTGGCCTAGAAGGATTTAGCCAGAGTAGATCATGCATTGACCAGGGCTGAAGCAGCTGGTCATGGCAGTCCTCTAAAGTTCTGTGTCACAACACACACAGCTTGGAGAAGATGGACATAAGCTTTGGGTCCCACAAGGGGAGGTTCAGATAGCCAGGGAAGGGGCAACAAACTGAAAAAAAAGAGAAGGTAGAAGCATAACATCATTCAAGGTAAGCTGGGCTCAGAGCCCACCTTCTGGAGACTGTGAACCAGAGGCTAAGACAGCCGGCAGTGTGCATCCCACCCAAGGCCTAACCTGGCAAAAAGCTATGGGAGGGCCGGGAAGTTAGCTCAGGCATGAGCATCTGCCTGGAAAGTGTGAGGTCATGAGTTCTGATCCCCAGTACCGCAAAAAAAAAAAAAAAAAAAGGCTATGGGATATCACAAACAAGTGCTTTGCCAAGGAGACCCTGTTCAGAAGCTGGCTGAGTGTCCAGGGTTCCAGTGTCAAAATGTGATGGCCAGATGTAGTCAGAGAGCATATCTGTTTGGAGTGGGTGTGGGCTGCTCATCTAGTGCCCCTGGGAGGCAGAAGTTTCTTTATCTGAAAGAAAGGAGGGAGAAGAAATAAAGCAAAGGACCATTAAATCATGTTTCGGCCTAGATTGACATGTTTTAAAATTTTGTTGTATTTTTTTCTTCTTCTTTGTCCTTTTTTCCTCGAATAAAATGGATTTTTAAAAAATAATAATATGCTGGGCATGGTGGCTCATGCCTGTAATCCCAGCACTTAGAAGGCTGAGGTGAGAGGATCATTGTGAGTTCAAGACCACCCTGGGCTACAAAGTGAGCTCAAGGCCAGCCTGAGTGAGACCCTGTCTCAAAAAAGACAAATAATAATAATAATAATAATACAATTAAATATTTTTTTTAAAAAATCATATTTTGGATACCAAGTGAGTCAGCAAGTCCAGAGGCCCAGCTCCTGTACGTTCCCTGAGATTTATAGGACTTGAAGCCCTTTCTCTGCCCAATGACAAAAGGACAAAAACTTCATTGCAGACTAACCCACTCATTCAACCTCACAGCAGTCAGTGGCATGTGTCACTGACAGCCCCATTTTACAGAGTGTAAAACTGAGATTGAAGGGACTGGCCAAAATCCTGGGACTAGCCAAAAATGAGCTGGGATTCACACTACAAAGTGTAAAGAGGAGCCAGGGTGGTGCCTATGTCTCCCCATGTTCACAAGCAGACTTGACGAGGCATGAGGCTGTATGTGAGCAGGAGAGCAGTGGGCAGAGGAGGCTAGGTGATAAGAGTACACAGAAATAGCAAACACCGCCCCAATGCCAACTGCTAAGAAGCTGGGCATGGTAGTGCACACAAATAACCAGAGCACCCTGGAAAGCAGGAAGATTGCAAGTTTGACCCCAGGCTGGGCAACTCAGTGACTTAGCAAGACCCTGTCTCAAAATTAAAAATTCAAAAAGGGCCAGGGATGTAGCTCACAGCAAAGGCCATGGATTTAATCCTCAGGACTGCAAAACACAAAAAACTGCTAAGAATGTTGTCAATAACAGTGCAGGTTTACTGAGGTGTTATTATGAGGCAAGTCCAGGGGTCCTGCAATATATGCAACTGTCCTCAACAGCCCCGTGAAGAAGACTGTTACCATGGGCACTGTGCAGATCAGAAAGTAGACTCGGAGACTGAGAAGCAAGCCCAAGGTTGCAGCCAGTGGGATACATAGTCTCATGGTCCAGGTCCTCAGGCTCTGCCCACTCCTGCCACTAATTCCAGTTTCAGGGTAAAAAAATCACCAGAGAAAACTCTTTGCCATACCCTCCCTCAAATCCCTCTCTCTGGGGCATACAGGATCAACCAGGAAAAGGAAGCAAGACATTTGCTCCCTTGTCCCCACCTAGCAGCCACTGTTTCAAATGACCCTGGCTGGGCAGGCCCTGGGCAGCATGATCTGGGTGCCCCAGTACTTTGCAATGGTATGTAGATGAGCATAACAGGATCCTCTTCTCTACCCCAGACCAACTCAGTGTACACTAAGCTGTCCACTAGCAACAAAAGTCAAACTCACCTTTAGGGATAAACTTCAGCGAGCTGCTAAATATTCAGAATCGAGATTGCCCCCGCTTAGGGCCATCATTCAGGAACTCATGGCCCAACCCATTGCCACACTTGCCACAAGACACCTAGAGAGATCAAAAGATCATCATAAGATAACCACATGAGTACCTGGTCCCACAAAACAGCCAAGGTGATGGCCTTCTTCTGTATGAGGTTGATCACTGACCTAGAGCCCGGAAGGGATACTGTCCTGCTGCCTATGTTCCATCAGGATGCCAGGCTGTCCCCAAGACTAGGGTGGCAGCTCCTACAGCTAAGGCTAGAAGCCTCAAAACCCTGACAGCAGAGGGGGAACAGAGAAAGGAAGGGATGACTGGCTGCCTGGCATTCCCTGAAGAGCCTGGCCCCAGCCACTGTCACCCACCTTCAAGGCTCCAGGTCGGTTGTGCTCAGGACATTTGGCCACACTATCAGCATGGATGGTATCTGTGAATGCTGGCCATGGAGATGAGTGTGCATACTTCGAGCGGCTAGAGAACAGCTCATAGCCACACTTGGCACACACATAGATACCTGAAGCAGGGAAGGACAAAAGCAGAGACATCAGCTCCATACTATGTGGGGTGAGCTCCTCAATCCCTTGACCTAGACGAGGGCAGCACTGTCCCCATTCTGAAGATGGCCTACATATCCTTGCCATGCACTTGCTAATCATAGGTCACAGATTGTCCTGTGGAGACACAACTCCAAGCTCATACTCAGGGGATGTGCCAAGGGCCAGGGTCACCGTTCACACACATCTCACGGACTCAATGGCCTTTGATGAGGAATCATTAGCATTTTCACTTTACAGATGAGCAAGTGAGGCTAGATGTTGTAGGTACCAAGGGAGAAAGTATGTGGCCAGGACAAAAATAAACAAAAAATTAAAACCTAGGCTCCTGCCTATAATCCTAGCACATGGGGGGCTGGGGATTTAGCTCAGCGGCATAAGCACCTGCCTTGCAAGCAGGCGGTTGTGAGTTCAATCCCCAGTACCGATAAAAATGAAAAAGACAAAAAAAAAAAAAAAAAAAAAAAAAAATCCTAGCACATGGGAAACTGAGGCAGGTGGATCACCATGAGTTCCAGGTCAGCATGGGCTACGCAATGAGTTCAAGGCTAGGCAACCCACTCGGACCCCTTCTTTGTCTCTCAGATGGAAGCGTTCTTTCTCTCAATAAATATATTCTGCTTTTAACCTCAAAAAAAAAAAAAAATGAGTTCAAAGCTAGCTTGAACTACATGGCAATACTCTGTCAAAAGAAAGAAGGAAGGAAGGAAGGAGAGAAACAGAAAAAAAAGAAAAGAAAAGAAAAAAGGTGTGACCAGGGAAGAACCCAGTCAATCTGCTGAGGCCACAGGACCCACTCCTTACATAGGAACACACACAGAGCCTTGACATGGTCAGTGTTAAACACCTGGCCCCTCCTCTCTCTTCAGGTGACCAACCCTGCTATCCAGAAAAGCCCTAATCTAAAACACTCTTGCACTGGCCTCTTTAGGCAGGAAGAAAATAGTCCCAGAGATGGAGCCTCTGGACTAACAAGGAACCAAGGAGACAAGGACTAGGATGTCAGCTTCCAACCTATCCCCAAAAGATCACTTTGGAGTAGAAAGGGAGGGGAAGGTCACAAACCTTATTTGCAGAACTATCTGAAAAACTTAAAAACAAGAACCTCCAAAGGTACTGAGTCACCTCTCAACCTCAACCAGGACAGCCTTCTTGAAATGTGTGAACTGCTCAGTCTTTGCCAGGAATTCAAAAATGAAGCATAAACTAGGTGTGGTGGTACACACCTGTGATCCCAGCACTGTAGGCAGGAGGATCTCTGCGAGTTCAAGGCCAGCCTGAAATACATAAGAAGACCCTGTTCCACCCTCCTCAAAAAAAAAAAAAAAAAAAAAAACAGCACGAAGCTACCTCAATAGTGGAGTTCCACCTCAGGCAGACAGCCTCAGGAGAACTAGGGTCCCACAATTAAAGGGCCTCGGGGGTGGGTTCTTGCCTTTGTAGTGCTGCATCACAGCTAGTGTCACTGATGCCTAGTTTCACAGCCTACTCCCAACAGATCTTGCCCCAGGGAAATCAATGACCTAGTCTTTTCTATAGGGATCTATTTTTATCAGATTAGCCCAAATTATTTGGAGAGCCCAGCCACAACTCAGCAAGGCCTCACACAGCCTTGAAGTCAGGGCTGAAAGGTGGCCAAGTTCCAAACCACCACACACATCAGCAAGTTGTACAGGTCAAAATTTCACTTGCTAGGGACCCAGTGGCATTCCTGGTTACCCAACCAGAAGGCCCAGGGCAGGTGGGGAGGCATCCAGGCAGGCATATTTCCATCTGAATAGGATATTCAGTGTTTGCTCGCTCACCCCGCAGATCCTAGAAACCAGATCAGCTGGGGTAACACCTGGCACTGCTCCTGGACCAGATTGCTACTGTGCCCTCCCAAAGTCCGGACCCTGACCCAGTTACCCCAGGAATAGTCACGATGATGCTCAAGGCCTGTCCTTTTTCGAATCGGCGACTCCTCCCATGCCCCGTCCCGAGAGTCTCCCCACTCGCCCCGGCCCTCCAGACTACCACTTCTTCCATGACCACCTTGCCCCACATTTACTCCTCCGGATGGCCACAATCGTCCCATTCCAGGGTCCTGAGCTCCACCCGCTCCGAAACGTAGTGACACCCTCGGTAATACAAGAAAGAGGTCGTAGGATGGACCTGATTCAAAGTGGTTTTGGAAAACCTCGCCCCCAAAGAAGCTGCAGAACGACATGGCGCCGGCTCGACAGACTCAAAGCCCCTAATTCCGAAGCCAGTACAAACGCCAATAGCTCCTTCCCAAGGACCAATCACGCCGTACGCCTGACCACACCGCGCCCCGGAAAAGAACCAATCACTCGGAGGCGCCAGTAGTGCCCTCTGCCCACTTCCCAGAGGCCCCGCTGCCTCCCTAGGACCAATCTCTGCTCGGGTAGCAGATTCCGGCGTCCGCCTCCAGTAGGTCCCGCCCCCTTGCGAGAACCTGTTGAATCCCGTCTTTTCACTAAGCCCCGCCCATCGACAGAAGTCCCGCCCCGGCTGCCAGAAGCTTGATCCAGATCCCAGCTTCTTAGGCACCGCAAGGTGGCAGTGGCTGTTTGGGCCACCTTAAATAGTGCCCTCACGCTTCGACTCCACGTCAACGGTAAACGCGACCCCAACCCACTGAGACGCTGAATTGCCTCCAACATTTATTGAACAGGTGCACGCTACAGGTCCTCCTCCCACAGTCCCTATAAATCTCCTGAGGCCTCTGGCTTCTCCTTCTCCAGATGTTTCTTCTGGGGGCCCTGAGGAGGACAGAAGTGTTAGTTACAAGTCTATCTGGGGCCACCACCCCTAGCCAGCGCCAAGCCACCCAGACCTGTCCTACTGGACCCCTAAAAGCACCTCCTGTGTGTGTGGGGATGGCCCAGCCAGCTCTGGGTCTAACTTCCCCATGCTGAAGCATGCCAGAGGTGGAGTTTGAACCCCAGAGAAGGGCTGGCTTACCATGAAGGCCCTTTTCTCTTGGGCTGTTTGGAAGCGGCCATGGCCAAACTTGGAGGTGGTGTCAATGAACTTGAGCTCAATGTTCTCCAGGGCTCGGCGGCTGTGGTGCACCAGGAGGGACTGGGGATCCATCCGAGGGACAAGCATTATTAAGGTAGGTGGGCCCTTGGCCCTCTTATCACCACCTCTGGTTACAACTCTCCCCCACCCACCTCCTGCTGGACTCCTTCCTTTTTGTTCCCACAACCCACTCCACACTGGAGCAGGCTGCAGGATAAGACAGGCCCAATGGGGCAGCCCATAGGGGACCCACCTCCTGACTCAGTGTGCTGCACTGACCTTCCTCAGCGTAATGACCCGCTTCTTGGTACCTGCGATGCAACCCTTCAGCATGATATAGTCATTGTTAACTTCCCCATAGTGGGGGAAGCCACCCTGTGAGGGAGACAAACCAGAGGGCATACCAGATAAAGGGCTGCTGAGCTGGGCAAGACAGAGGGAGGGCACCAAATAGGAGCCCTAGGAAAATTTTCCACCTAGGGGTCTGACTGGAAGGGGCCCTGTGCTCAGCCCCCAGGAGAGAGATCCACTAATCAGGGCAGCATCTCAGTCCATGTGCTAAATCCATCTATCTCACTCAACATCTGTTTTTCTTTGTTTCAGACAGGGCCTCACTATATAGTTCAGGCTGGTTTGGAACTTAACTATGCATCCTAGACTGGCCTCAAACTTGCAGTGATCTTCCTGCCTCGGTCTCTTGAGCTCTGAGATTATAGGCCTGAGCCATTATACCTGGCAACATCAGTATTTTTATGGGGGAAAACTAAAGCTCAGAAGTTTGGCATCACTTGCTGCAGGCTTCACTGGGCTGGGGTTTGGCTCCCAGACCATGGTAGGAGTTGGGGCATCCCTCACTCTCCTGACAGTAGCTGGAATGTGAGCTCCTCAGAGGAGCTTAGAGGATATAGGAGATGGCAGAGGTTGAGGCCACCAGGTGGCTGATTACTGCTGCACCAAGCCCATCACTGCCTACCTAGTAGGGTCTTGTGCCCCAGTTTGTCTGTGGGGCACACATCTTGAGTTCCTGGAGCAAATACCAGTCATCTGGAACTGAACCCTACCACCCCATACTTTCCAGGCACCCTCAGCCAGCCTAGCCATTCACTCTCACCAATGGCGTAATAGACTTGTCCGTCACATCATAGCTGGTGGACGCATTATTCTTGACCAACTTTCCATCTTCCATATGGAGCCCCCGGCCAATGCGGTAGATCTGCCAGGAAAAGAAGGCACACTAGGTTGTCAGAGTGGGCTCTGGGGCCCAAAGACATGTCTGTACCCATCAGTATACATGCTCAAACCCAAGTGCTGCTGGCATTTCATGAACCCTGGAAAGTGTCTGTATCATGCATACTACCCACTGTGTTCCCCCACCCCAGCACCATGGACACACCTTCTTGTTGAGCTCAGTGCGGTGGTGGTAACCTTTCTGCCCAGCCCGGGCAATGGAGCAGCCCACACGGGCAGGGTGCCAAGCGCCGATGCAGGCTACCTTGCGCAGCCCCTTGTGGGTTTTCCGTGGCAGCTTCTTGGTATGCCAACGGCTGGTAACCCCTGCAGTGGGAAGGGCTGGTGTCTGAGCAGTCTGGCTCCCACTGCCTCCAGCAGCTTTCGACAGAGCTGACATCCCCATCAAGCCCTACCTTTGACGCCCCGGCCCTTGGTGACAGCGATGACATCAATGACCTCACTCTGGCTGAAAACACTATGTACTGGCACCTGCTTCTCCAGCCGGGCTTGAGCCCAGGCCACCTTCTCAGCTACTGTGCCACCATTTAGTTGGATCTCCATAATATGGGCCTTCTTCTGCCGGAAGGGCAGCAGCTTCATCTGCAGGACATGGTACCATGGTCAGTCCCAGAAGGTCACATGCAGACATAACATGGCCAGCTGGTGACTTGAAGTCTTTTATGCATTTATTTATTCACAGATGTTCCTGTGCCCCAGCTCCATACTGTGTGCTATGCTAGGCACTGTGGGTATAGGATGGAATGAGTAGACATGGTCCCTTTCCTCAGACTAGGGGACAGACAGAAGCCAAGTTAACTCTGGGAGAGGGCTAAGTGCTCTGAGAGACTATTGAAGGTGTACTTCAGAGAGCAGTCAGGGAAGCGCCTGAGTAGGTGACACCAGTAACAAAGAAGACACGAAGTAAAGATCTGAAAAAAGCTTTGAGCAGAAGGAACAGCATGTACAAAGACTGGCTGGGAAGATCTTGAAGAGTTGGTGGGACAGAAAAAAGGCCACACTGGGTGTGGTGTCACATGCTTGTGATCCTAGAATTTGAGAAGCTGAGGCAGGAAGATCAAAAGTTCGAGTTCGAGCCCGAGCCAGACGTGGTAGCTCACACCTATAATCCCAGCACTGGGGAGGCTGAGGTGGGAGGATCATTGCAAGTTCAAGACCAGTTTGGGCTACAACGTGAGCTCAAGGCCAGCCTGAATTGTCCAGCAAGACCCCATCTCAAAAAAAAAATAAAATAAAATAAAATAAAAAAGTTTGAGCCCAATCTGGGCAATTTAGTGAGACTCTGTCTTAATAAAAAAAAAAAAAAGAAAAAGAAAAAGAAGAAGAAGAAGAAGTAGACCAATGTGGTCAAATGGTGGTGAGCAAAGAGGGTGGCAAGGCCAGGCAGGTTATGGGGAGGACCAGGTGTGATATGATCAGCCAGTAGGTCTCTGACTGATGCTACATGAGGCACAGAATGTGCAGATGTACAGGTGGAAGCAGGACAGTTAGATCACAGCATAGTGTCCAAAAAATACTTATGAAGTGCCTACTGCATACTAGGCTTGGTTAGGTACTGGGCCCCCACAGTGAACATGGTAGGAGTGGCACTGTACCCATGGATCAAGGTCAAGACAGCAGAGGGAGATGAACGTTAATCATGACTCATTGTCCGTGAACTGCAAGTGTGAGAGTAACTTGGTTGAGAGATATAGAGAGCTGGGAGGCAACAGAGAGAGATCAGCCTCCTCTGAAGACAAATGCCAAGGAGTGTTGCTGAAGGAGGAGGGTACTGATTACATGTCACCCACATGAAGCCAGACCTTAGGTACCAAATCACATACACTCCTGGGCCAGGGAGGTAACAACCCTGCATACTGGACTGGCAGGAGCCCCAAGCCCTGATGGCCATTTTAGAGCTTTGGGTGACTACTACAAGATGCCAATGTCCTGCAGCCCCTTGGCAGGCACTGGCAACATCCTGTCTCTGGGGCTGTGGTGGCCAGCAAGGCAGTTAGCCAGTCATTAGTCTTATGCCCAAGACTTGTGGTATTTTTAGGCTGACATTTGTCAGGGCTCCTGGAAGCTAGAGGGAGAGGAAATCTAGGGCAGACAGACTGAGACAGGGGGCAGGGCTGACCTGTGTGTGGACAATGACCCGAATGACTTTGCAATACTTCTTCATAGCAGCAAAGTCCTTTTGGAGCTGCTTTTTGCCATCGGTGTCCCGCCACCTCTTGCAGGCTTTGGTGAAGGCTTTCTTCTTGCTCTTGTGCCTGAGCCATGCACAGGAGATACTCAGGGGCCCAGCCAGGGCAGATCCCCAGGCCATCCTGCCCCCACCCTGCCTACAGTCTACTAAGAAGGGCTCTTCCCTGAGGCCCTGGCTGGATCCAATATCATTTTTGAACACAGATTCCTCTTCTCTAGGCCCCTGTGTCTCCCCTCCCTATCAAGTGGGCACCCTCCCTGTCTCCTTGGGGTCCACACCTAGAGACCACCCCACTACCATGTTGCTACACTGAAGCCGGCAAAAGGCACAGTGAGTAGACACCAGGCCTCAGACTTGAGGGATAGTATTTATACCCTCATCAGAGTTCTGCAAGGTAGAAATGATGTCTGCATTCTGGATGAAGAAACTAGGTTCTGGGGGTTAAAACCTCCAGATGAGGGGCAAATTCATGATAGAAACAGAAAAAGCAGGACACCTGGCATTTGCTGGTCACTTGCTCTAAGCTGAGCACTGGATACACTTCAGTAATGCAGTCCCCACAACACTGGGCCACTCCTAGCTTCATTTCACATCACAGGAACCTGAGAGATTGACCAGCTTACCTTGGTCACACAAGCTGCTCTAACTCTGGAGCCCAGCTCATCACCTCTCACAGGGGTCAGGGCTGGGCTGTGCCTCTGTCTCCATGAGGTATGTGTGTGGAGAAGTGCCTGTGAGGTTCACCAAACAGGTGGGCCCTCCTTATCAGAATTAAGTGCCAAAGAAGATTTAAGACCTGAGGGCATCTTCCTTTCTATATACAAGAGCTTCTCAATTGGCTGTTTCTCTTTTCACCTTGGCTACTAAGCAGCACAAACAACTCTGAAATTCCATCAAATTAGCCTAGGGGATAATAACATTTACTTTTTCCTTCCTCTATCCTAATTTCCTCCTCCACCCTTTAATATACATTCATCTCTTACTGAAGGGAAAGCACTCACCTGCACAAGCACAAGCACACACACACACTTTCCTACCTACCATACAATGTTGACCCCAGTTCTACCTACCAGCCCTCTGGTTCCAGCACAGAGCTGGGGCATGCCCCTCACCAGTCCTTGTAGAAGCGACGGCGGCACTCATCACTAAGGTGTTCTGCAAAGATGGTCTTGAAACTCCTCAGGCCTCGAGGGGTGGTCACATAGCCCACCACGCCCACCACCACTAGGGGTGGTGTCTCCACAATCGTCACTGCCTCCACCTCTTCTCGCTTGGAAATTTCTAAATGAGAGCCAGAGTCAGGGATATAGAGGGAGCTTCCTGAGGTCCATGGGAAAGAGCTGGCCACAGAGGGTGGGCCAGGAAGGTGTGAGACCAGCAATCAGAGCAGCTCCTGTGCAAGATGGGGTTGAATTGGGCACCTTTACTTTTTCTTCCTCTCGCTCTTCTTTCTCTCTGTGCCACCACACCTGGCTGAGCCTCCTTTTAATAATTATAAATACATATTTTATATAAATGTATTTTTGTAATATCTAGCAAAACCTCAGGAAAAAAATGGTTGTATGGGTATTATTGATTAGGCTACCATGAAGCAAAATTCAAGTTTTTAAAATATTTTAAGGAGCCAAGTGCAGTGGCACACATCTATAATTGCAGTATTCTGTGAGGCTGAGGCAAGTTCAAGCCCAGTCTGGGCAACTTAGTTATTTGGTAAAACGCTGTCTCAAAATAAAAATGAGGTTAGCAATAAATGAAGTAGCTAAGTAAGTGAGAAGGTCCTGGGTTCAATCCCCAGTACTACAAGATAAATAAAAAACTGGGGAGAAATATATGAATCAATTCTTAATATCATTGACTACTTAAAAGGATTAAGGAAATGTTTTGTTTTTGTAACTCTAGAGATTCAACCCCAGGCCTTATGCACATACTAGACAAATGATGTACAACTGAACTACATTCCAATCTTTACCCTTTTTAAATGTGATACTGGGGATTAAATTCAGGGCCTTCATACTGAGCTACATTCCCAGTTCTTTTTTTTTTTTTTTGTACTGGGAGTCCTACACACAACCTCATGTTTGTCAGGTAGGTGCTGTGCTGCTGAGCTACATGCCTGCCCAAATTGCCCATGTTGGCTTTAAGTTTACAATCCACCAGCCAGCTGTGGTGGTGCATGCCTGTAATCTCAACACTTGGGAGGCTGAGGCAGGAGAATCATTGCGAATTCAAAACCAGCCTGGGCTCAAAGTGAGTTCAATACCAGCCTGAACTGCATATTGAGACCCTACCTCAAAAAGACAAAAATAAATATATAAATACATAAATTTACAATCTTCTTGCCTCAGCCTCCCTAAATGCTGGGATTATAGACATGCACCACCATGCCCTGTTTATCCCAAACTTTTTTTAAAATTTCAGCCTGTTTAAAATAAAATTTTATTTTGATTCATGCACCTGGGACAAAAAAAATTTATTTTATTGGTCTTTTTGAGAAGGGTTTCACTATGCAATTCAGACTGGCCTTGAGTTCACTTTGTAGCCCAGGTTGGTCTTGAACTCACAATGATCCTCCTGCCTCAGCCTCCCAAGTACTGGGATTACAGGCATGTACCACCATGTCCAGCTATTAAAATTTTTATTTTAATGTATTTATTTTTTGGTGCTGGGGATAAGATTTTTTTTTTTTTTTTTGAGACAGGGTCTCACTGTATAATTCAGGTAAGTTTTGAACTCAGTGCAGGGATTACAGACATGTGCTACCATCCCTGTTCCCCAGCTCTTTAAAATTTTATTTCAGACAGGATACCACTAAGTCACTAAAGTGCCCAAGCTAAGTTTGAACTCACCGCCTTAACCTCCTAGAGTAATGGGATTTTAGGCACCATACCTGACTTTAAATTTTAAGAAAAAGTCTCACTATGATGCCCAGTCTGACCTCAAAATTGCCATCCTTGGGGCTGGGGATTTAGCTCAGCAGCATAAGCACCTGCCTTGCAAGCAGGCATTCGTGAGTTCGATCCCGGGTACCGACAAAAAAAAGAAAAAGACAAAAATTGCCATCCATCTGACTCAGTCTCCTGAGTAGCTGCAATTACAAGCATACGTGCCACTGTGCATGGCAAAGGCATTTTATGTTATGCATACTTAACCACATTTTTAAAAAAAGAAGCAAGGGAGAGAGAGAGAGAGAACAGTTGAGTATGGCCAGGAGGGGCTGGCAGAGCATGGGATACAAGGTAACCTAGGGACTCTGCAGGGAGAGAGTGTTATGGATTTAGACTGAGGTAGCAGTGAACAGACTGACATAGGTGACAAAGTGCATACAACTCACACACAATGAACACACAAATGAGCAAAGGGAGTGGACTATCCATGCCAGTGTCTGGTTATTTCTTACAACTACTTATGAATCTATAATTATTTGAAAATAAAACAAAATGGGGCTGGGGATTTAGCTCAGTGGCATAAGCACCTGCCTTGCAAGCAGGTGGTTGTGAGTTCAATCCCTGGTACCCATAAAAAGTAAAAAAAAAAAAAAAAAAAAAAAAAAACTATGAAAATAAAACAAAAGCAGCTGGGTGTGGAAGTGCTTGTCTATAATCCTAGAACTCAAGCAGCCAAGGCAGGAAGACTTCAGCCTAGGCTATACAATGAATTCAAGGCCAGCCTGAACTCTATAGCAAGACCCTGTCGTTGAAACACAAAAGAATATGAATATATATATATATATCCCCCAAATGGCCAAAAGATACAAGTATCCTGTCTGGTGGGTGAGGGCTGGTATCCACCTTTGAATTCCAGTTCCTCTACTGACTGACTAGTTTCTTAGCTACTGTGTGCCACTTCATCTGTAAAATGAAGACAGTGACAAAACCCACCTGGGTTGTTGCCATTTTGATCTGTCACTGTCCTGAGTCCCTTGGGCAGGGACCTTTCCAAGACCATGCCCCATCCTGGATCAGAGAGCAGTTCTGGCTCCTAGCACCTGGAAGTCCCTCTACCACCCACCATGTGTCCCACAGTGACTCACTGAGCCCTGGGCGATGCACCTCCCTCAAGGTGTGGGTCATCCCCGCCTTGTAGCCCAGGAAGGCTGTGAGATGCACAGGCTGACTAGGGTCGTCCCTTGGCCATGTTTTCACCTTGCCCCGGTGCCGGCGGCTCCTCTTGTGGGGCAGGAAGCCCAGGTGTCCATGTCGCGGGGCAGAGAACTTCCGATGGGACTGGGGCACAGGAAGAAGGGAGGTCAGAACTGGGGTCTCCTGGTAATAGCATCAGGCAGGTCCCAGAACCCAGACAAGGAAAATACACTGGAGACCCTAAGCAGAGGGCCAGGTGGCCCCCAGGGCTGCCCAGTCTGTCTATAGGAAGGTGGGGGGTCAAAATAGGTACAGATTTAGAATTGGGGCCTCCACATCAGTGGCTTCCTGCCTCCATGGGCTCAGCATGGTGAGACCCAAAGGACTGAGAGGCACTGAGCAGAATGGCTGCTGTCATCTGTCCATCTTTTGTTCTTTTTAGGCCTAGAAGCTCAGCTGTAGCCCCTTGCTGTCTCTTCCAACTTCCCAACCCTTACAGTCAGGACTGTCTCTACCTGGAGGATAGCTGAGTGATACCCACCGACCCACGCCCCAGGAATGCCGGTTTGTTCCAGATCTACCCCCAGCCCACTGACCATGACAGCCAGCCGATCACTGCAGGTCAGGAAGGGGCCTTCCCACCAGGCAACAGAGGTCGAGTGGCAGAGCCAGGACACACAGCAGCCAGGTCCCAGATTTAGACCCTGGCAGAGGAACTCAGTCATCTCATGTGGCCAGCATAATCTACAGTGCCAGCGCAGCCCAGGGAGGGGCATAACCCTCCCAGGAGCAACTCAGCCTGATAGTGGTGAGGTACCCCAGTTAGGGGCTTTTGTAAGACAGTAGCCAAGAGGAGAATCTGAGTGAGTCCCATTTGCTGAAAACTTCTAGCATCCTGAGAGCTGTGAGACTAAGCTGGACATACGGGGTAAAAGAGGTGGTTAGGGATGTGGGGCAAGGATGGTGACCATATATCCCATCATGATGCCTAGCTGGGCACCTTTGTAATCTCAGCACTCTGGGAAGCTGAGGCAGAAAGATAACAAGTTCAAACCCAGCCTTGGCAATTCAGTGACTTAGTGAGGCTGTCAATAACTAAATAAGCCAATGTGGTGGTATATGCTGTAATCCCAGCACTCAGAAGACTGAGACAGAATTGCTGTGAATTTAAGGCCAGCCTGGACTACATAGAGAGTTCAAAGCTAAACTGAACTACATAGTGCAACCCTGTCTCAAAAAGCAAAAATAAATAAATAATAATAACAATAAATAGGCTGGGTGTGATGGCACATCCCTGTAATCTCAGTGAGAGGCTGAGACAGGAGAATTGCTGTGAGTTCAAGGCCAACCTGGCCTACAAAGTGAGTTCAAGGCTAGCCTAAAATGCATAGTGAGACCTTGTCTCAAAAAGACAATAAATAAATGGCCCAGGATGAAGTTCAGTAGAAAGGCTCTAGGTTCAGTTTTTCTGGTGGGGAGGCTGCTGAGAATTGAACTTGCCTCAGGACCTTGTGCTTGCCAGGCAGGTGCTGCCCACAGAGCTATATTCCCGGCCCTGGATTCAATATTTAGTACTGTCAAAAAACAAAAATATCAAGACAGTCTATGATGCCAAATGTGGTGGCCCACACCTATAATCCCAGCACTTGAGAGGCTGAGGCAGGAGGATTGCTAAATTTGAGACCAGCTGGGCTACAAAGTGACTTCAAGGCCAGCCTGAACATTATAGTGAAACTCTGTCTCAAAAAACAACATAAAATTATTACAGTTAATGGCCTATGGCTCATGAACATTTACTTTATGAATTTAAAACTTAAAGATAAATTTTGAATGAAAAAGTTAAAATTTCTGGGACCATAGTAGCTTTCCAGAATCACATAATCTGTAGCCCTAACATATCCTAGAATTTGTGGATTTTCTATCCCTAGATGCTAAGATTTTATGCTACCAAAATGTTAAAATTCTTGTTTCTGACAATTCAAAATTTGCAGATCTGATGTATTTCTCGACTCTGCGGTGTCCTAGAGGTGGCTTGGCCAGTCTATGTGCTCTACTAGGCTTTTTTCTGTAAGAGCTGGGCCATGTTTATCTCGCTTCCTACTCCCCTTGGCACAGGACCTGACATACAGCGGCTCCTGGATAAATTGTTTTTTCATTTATGGTTTTTTCCATGTAGCCCAGGATGGCCTCAAACTCTTGGTGATCCTCCTGCTACAGGCTCTCAAAAGCTGGAATTACAAGCAGGCACCTAACTGTTTATTTTATTTTTAAAAAACAGGGTCTCATTATGTAGTTCAGGCTGGACTTAAAACTCACTAAAGTAGCCCAGGCTGGTCCCCAAGTCTCAGATGCTCTTGCCTTAGCTTCTGAGTGCTGGGGTTATAAAAGTGGACTCAGCGGCATAAGTGCCTGATTGGCAAACGCGAGGTCGTGAGTTCGATTCCCAACATCACAAAAAAAAAAGAAAGAAAGAAAGAAAAAAAGAACTGTCCCACCACTCCGAACTCACAGTCTTCTTTATTCCTGCTGCTCACTGGACGCGGGAGCAACGCCGCCAGGTTCCACATGGGGGCGCCTGCAGAAAGCCACAAGACCCCTGGTGCCCTGCAGCCTCCCCGAAGCCAAACACCCATTGCGCAGGCGCAGTGTCTGGCCCACTGCGCAGGCGCAGCGGCCGGGCGTCCTCTGTAGGGCGAATAGTCTCAGCAGGCTAGACGCGGGCCAGCGGAGACCGGTAGTGCGTCCTCCTTACACCGCTGCCATGCCGGACCCTTACGACAAGGATGTGTACCCTGAACCCCCACGCCGCACGCCAGCGTCCTCGCCGCAGACGTCGCTCCCTAACCCCATCACGTACTTGACCAAGGCCTTCGACCTCCTCGTGGATCGGCCTGTGACCCTCATTAGAGGTACAGGCCTAAGATTCCACCCGCCCAGCGTTCCTTAGTACCCCACTGTCCCGGCGTTCAGGCGCCTCGCGGCCGCCATCCAAAAACCCGAGCTGCGTTGTCTCTTTTGACCTTACCTTGGGCCTTGCTCCCCCCGCCGCCTCCCACCAGGAAATCCTGAAGGTCCGTTGACTTGTTTGACTTCCCCACTGCACCCTTCCAGTGGCTTTTCCTGCCCTCTGCCGGGCCGAGGAGAAACCCTTGGCCTGCATTCTCTGCTTTCTTACGCATCTGACCCCCTGAGCTTGCTAGACTAGACCATCTCCCTACCCCCCAGCACACTTCGTTCAGTTTGCAAAGAAGCCTGTTTTGAACGTTCTCGCTGGCCACCTGCATGTTCTTGGGGTGGACATCAGCCCCCTCAGAATACGTGTCTTCGCCATGTAGTGTGATCGCTCCAATTTTTTATCTCTGGTCCAGGTACTGCTCCCTTCACCTCTTTGTGATCCTGTTTGCCAACCTCGTGGGCAGCAGCAAGACCACACTATGCCACCTGTCACAAGTGCCAAGCACTTAATCTGTTCAGTAAAGCAATTCATTTGTTCAACAACAAATAGGATGTAGGGCTTACTGGTCGGTGATGGTATTTTTTGTTGTTTGGACAGGATTTCAATATATAGTGCAAACTGGTCTTGATCTTGCCATGATCTTCCTGCCTCTGCCTCCTGAGTGCACCACATCTGGCATATTTTTGCTTTATTTATTTATTTATTTGTTTGTTTGTTACTCAGGACCTAGCACTTGCCAAGCAGGACACTGAGGTATATCGCTGGCCATTGTTTTTGCTTTTTTTGAGCAGAGGTTTGTTACCCAAGCTGACCCAGAATTTCTGGGCTCAAGTCATGCTATTTCATCTTCCCAGAGCTGGGACTATGGGCCTGACCTGCAGCAGCATGCCAGGCAGGTCAGGAGAATATGGAGCTAGTTTTCTTTCTTAGGGTTATCTTGGGGTATTTGAATACGTGAGTTTAGTCAAAGGTTTTAGAGTGGGATTTCTGCTAATTGCTTCCTGTCAGGCCTCTTTGGTGTACACAATGGGATCCCTGTGCTGGGGATGTGGCTTGCAGAACTGAGTTCTGAATCCTGCTTTGTAATTCTCCAGCTGCTTCTTGAGTTGTGGTCCAAGCTATGAATGAGGACCAAGACTATCAGGTTGTTGTGCAAATGACATGGGATTCTGCAGCCGAAACTCTCAGGATAATGGGCGTCATTTGTACCTCTTTCACAGGGGCACACTGGCCCACATCTGTTGAGTCCAACTGTGTAAAAGCTCAGAACATTGAGAGACAAGTCCCCATCCTAGTTGTGGTCCGTCCAAATCGATCACACAACTGAACCTGGGATTTCTTCTTTAGATTTTATAGAGCAGCAGCATGCCAAGAACAGATACTATTACTATCACCGGGAGTACCGCCGTGTACCAGACATTACAGAATGCCAGGAGAATGATGTCCCGTGCATGTTTGAAGCTGAAATGCAATGGAGACGCGACTAGTAAGTAAACAGCAAGGAATGCTAAGAATGGGCCTTTCCTAGGAATGCCACAGGATGGCCTCATCCAATGTACTTTCTTGAGGTGAGGCAGACTGTAGGGCCCCAGAGGTCCGTCTTTTATTCTATCCCTTAGGCACAGCCTTTTTCTTCCAGCCTAGTTGACCAACAAATTCTCAGTATCATCCAAGAGAGGCTTAAGGCCTGTCAGCAGAGAGAAGGAGAGAACTACCAGCAGAATTGCGCCAAGGAGCTTCAACAGTTAGCCCAAGTGTCCAAGGCCTACCAGGACCGCTGTGAGTGAGCCCCCTTCCTGACAACCCTAGTCCCTTACCCAGACTTGCAACCAGCCTTTGCAATCTCACAACTATGGTTACTGTGACTTTACCTACTAGCTTTTCTTCGGCATGTAGCAAACACCCTGGTTCTGAGTTTTGATTGCCAACTGCCCCCTCCATGTCTCCTAGATAATGACCTGGGAGCCTATTATTCTGCCAGAAAATGCCTAGCAAAGCAGAAACAGAGGATGCTGGCAGAAAGAAAAGCTGCCAAGGAAGCTGGTACTGCCTGAAGCCTACCTTGAGGGCACCCCTTTACTGACCCTTGTTATGTTGCTGAAAATAAAGTGGTACACCCTATCTGTGTTTCTGGTGTCCCCTCTGGGCCCCAATCCAATTAATCCTTCCCCATTAAGCTATCAGTAAGTATATGACAAGCCAAAAAAAAAAAGAGAACCATTGACAGACTTCATTCATTTTTATTTCTCTTGTGTAAAAACCCTTATGTTGTAGCTACTGCTGGAGCTTGAGTTCTCTGGACAGAGACTCTAGTGTGGGTTTTCACAAGATGGTCGGTGAACTCCTAAGAGAGAAAAATTTCATGTTAACACACAACCTCTAGGCTTGTATGACAAAAAAATCCCCAACCTTGTGACAAGGCAAGCCACTGTCAGGTCAACAGCAATACCTGATAAGGAGACTTTGTGAACACAGTCTCTTTCCAGAGATCAGGGGTCAGGTAGCTGTAGGTCTTTGAGATGGCATCAAAGGTGGCCTTAGCTGAGAGAAACAGTAACATTAGAGAATGAGGATAGTTGGCCTGATTTGACACACTGCCCACCCCCAGACCAGAAGCTATGTTGCACTCCTAGGAACAGAGAGGCCACTTGGGGCAGGTCTGTCGTGCATTAGGAGGGCCTTCCTCTCTCTCCCTTGAAATACGCCACCACACACACTGCATTTGTGTGATCCAGCGGAGCTGAGAGAGGTCACTGTCAACACCGTGAGGCCACCTACCGAAGTTGCCCAAAGTAGCAGTACAGCCCCTGGCAGAGGTGTAGCAGTCATCAATACCAGCCATCATCAGCAGCTTCTTGGGCACAGGGGCTGAGACAATGCCAGTGCCTCTGGGGGCAGGGATCAAACGCACTAACACAGAGCCACAGCGGCCTGTCACCTGAGAAAGACAGGAATCAGGGTTAAGAATCAAAGCATGGGGCTGGGGATTTAGCTCAGCGGCATAAGCGCCTGCCTTGCAAGCAGGCAGTCGTGAGTTCAATCCCCGGTACCAATAAAAAAAAAAGGACAAAAAAAAAAGAATCAAAGCATGTCTCCACTGCACACTCATCGCTCACCACCACCACCCAGCCTACCTTGCAAGGGACTGTGTGGGGCTTGCCAATCTTGTTCCCCCAGTAGCCTCTCCGCACAGGAACAATAGAGAGCTTGGCCAGGATGATGGCCCCACGAATGGCAGTAGCTACTTCCTTAGAACACTTTACACCCAGACCAACGTGACCGTTGTAGTCCCCAATGGCGACAAATGCCTGTGAAGAGACTGTAAGGTAGCTGTGGTTCTCCACAGGATAGATACCCTTCACCATCCAAGGCCTGTTGTGCCCCTCAAGGAAAGAAAGGCCATTATGAGGCCAGTCCAAGGTCCTGAAGAGCTCTTTTCTCTCTCTCCCCGGTACGAAAGTCACACTATAAGTAGTGTAACCGTGCAGAGTAGAGAGAGTTACCCACCCCGTTTTGGTACAAACAGCCTTGACAAAACACAAAATGGTCCTGATACCTTGAACCGGGTCCGCTGGCCAGCACGAGTTTGCTTCTGCACAGGCATGATCTTCAGGACTTCATCCTTGAGGGATGTGCCCAGGAAAAAGTCAATAATCTCAGACTCCTGCAACAAATGAGGGTTTTTTTTGGCAAAAATACTAAAAACTTTTAAGTTAAAACACTCACCCAGGAACCGCAGTGGTGAGGCCAGGCTTCCTAGCACAAGATATGACAACTTTTTCCAAGTTAAATCTCCTTAATCCCAGCCGAATCACACTCTTACGACTGACACCTTTCCAAAAAGTCCTCCTGATGCTGATTACAGTAGATCTCAACCCTCCAACCCCCGTCTAAATGACGCTTCTGGACAGAACCTAGCCGGTCACAGCAGTACCTTGATAGGTAAGGAGAAGAGATAAATTTCTTCCAGGGACTTGATCTTCATGTCCTTGACCAGCCGGCCCAGCTTGGTGACAGGAATCCACTGTGAATAAAGACGTCAGTCAACAGGCGCTTCTGAGGCGCTCGACCCCAGGATCAGACCCGCACAGTGGCATACCTACCTCCTTGTCCTCGGCCTTCCCGCCGCGAGCTCCGCGGCCTCGGCCTCGGCCCCTGCCGCGCCCGCGTCCGCGGCCTCGAAGGCCACTTCCGAAGCCTCCGCGGAAGCCGCCGCGGCCTCCCATACCTGGGCCCCCAGGGCCTCCAGGCCCTCCCGCTGCACCGGCGTCATCCGCCATTTGCTGTAAAAAGGCACAGTAACAATCAATGGGGCTCGGATCTCTACAGCAGCCCCAGACACCCTAGCGGCCCTTACCCAGTCCCCCAGGCCCAAGCGTGGCCCGATGTCCGGGGATCCCCACTGCATAGGTCCTGAGCGGCCATAACACAGAAATAACTCACGTGTTTCCTCGAGGAAGAAGAACGAGCCGCTTAGACAAGGAACTTTTATATGCCACAAAACGCCGCGAGATCTCGGTTGCCCCGCCCCGAGCGCCCATAGGCGGCTATGATTAGCTCTACGTACGCTTCTGGCTGCCTAGGTTTGCGCCTGCGCAGATAAAGAGCTGCTATAATTTGGAGCGCTCGGGCAATTTGGTTCTTTCGACTTCTTGGCGCCTCGTGGTTTCATCTTTTCCTGGTAAGTTCAACCAGATGAACCGCCGCGCTTACATACGGATGGCTTGGAGTCCGGCGTTTGTTGAAAATCACCCCCGGCTTTGGCCGTAGTCGCGGGTGAGATTCGGCGCCCAGAACGTCCAGGGTCCTCAGCTCACCGCCCACTGCCGGTGTGGGTGGGTGAAACCCAGGCCCCGACATCCCCAGAGGCTGCACGCACGGCCTCAGACCCCTGAACCTTGCCTTTCTTTCCAGAGGTTTCCAGGTTGCCCCTTGGCTGACGACACTAGGACCGCGTGGGCAGGAAAGCTCCATTGGCCCCATACTTCAAATAAAACTGCCTCAATTTCCCGTATGTGACTGGTCTTGGAGTTTTTCCTACTACTTGTCCATGTGAAAGATCCATTCGACCCATTATGGCTTGGACAAGCTCTAGTGAGGTGTTCTCACCCACATCAAGTCATCACCACCTTTGACACCAGAAAGGTAATGACTGGGAGACTGGCAGGTGACATCCATCCACGTGTCAGCTAGTCTGAAAACCAGGTCTATCCATGCTTCAAAAATAACCTGTACGCTGATAGGCGAAGTACTCAGGGCTAAAATGATGGAATCTGGGCCATCAAACCACAATGATGGGAAAGTATAGTTTTCAATGGGTGCCTGTCCTTATAACCCCTGAAAGAATTGGTTCAAAGAATTTTCATTCCAACGGTGCTGACATACAACGGTGCTGACCACAGGGACATACAATGCACAGGTCTGCCCAAGCAGTCAGCCTGCCTTGGTGGAGAAAAGAGGCTACGTACAGGTTGCACCAGGATGTAGCCCTCCTTCATGAAGCTTTCTCCCGAGTCGTGAATGTTAGTGAAGAGAACCCTTAAACTCTTGAAGATCTGGTTTCCTGGGCAGGACTATGGGGGGCAGTAGTTCCTGTGATTTTGCTAACCTTGGTTCTTTGCTCAGTGCTGCTGGGATATCAGCCATCAGCTGCAACCAAGTCAAGGAGAAAGGTTCATAAACCTGCCCTCCTGCTCATATTCAGAGAAGGCAGCAAGGGCTTGTGGTACAGGGTCCTAATGAATCCTGGGCCATGATTATGATTGGCTTAAGCTGTCACAGTGGACAATGCCACTGTGATGTCAGTCTGCACCTGCTATGAAATGGGAGGCTCCTGAGGCCTGGGTGTCAGTGGAGCTGCCATCCAGACACAGATCATGGTAAGCCTAGCACCCACTTTATGCCCAAATCTGGACAGATGCTCAGCAGTCCAGGGATGGAAGTCACAACTCTGAGAAAGGATGGACAGTGGATTACAATCCCTGTATGCAAGGAGGACTTGTGGGGTGCCTTTAGCTGGGTCTCCCCTTCTCTAACCCACAATTACACTTGGTAGGATTGTAATACTTGGGAGTTGATTTCCACAACTGGCCCCTTCAAGTACTGCTAACCCCTACATGGGACTCTTCCCACCCAAAGGTTGCCAAGATCTGTCCCTGGACACATGGAGTGGGGAGCTCTGAACCTGGTCCCAGTGAGGCCTAATGTTATTGTGATCTTTGCAGAGTGGTGGGTATGATCTCAACCTTTTTGCCAGCCCTCCTGACTGCAAGTTCCTATGCTCCATCTGCCATGCGGTTCTCAAGAGGCCAGTGAGGTTGCCATGCAGCCACATCTTCTGCAAAAAATGCATCCTTCAGTGGCTAGCCAGGTGCCACAGGGTACCCAGGGGGCTGGGAGGGTTGGGGAAGCCATTGATGTGGCCCAGAATGGGAAGTGTGCCAAACTGAGTCCCAGTGACTGTTAAGACTCATCTCCAAAACCTGGGACACTATAAAGTTCCTATGGTGTCTATACACCCTGGCTTTAGCCCTGGAACTAAAAGCTATAATACCCCCTCATGCCTTCAGCTGGAGAAGGGACCACCTGGATCAGCCAGTGAAGGTGGAGTTGACCCAGCAGCCATGTCTCTTCTAACTGTCCCCTTCCACTCAGTCCATTCCTGCCTCATTCCAGACAAAACACCTGTCCATGCTGCAGGAAGGAGGTGAAAAGAAGAAAGATGGTCTATGTGAATAAACTCCAGAAAACCATTGGCCATCTAAAAGTCAAGGTAGCTCAGCACATCCCTCTTACCACCTTTGTGGGGGTGCAGTAGAACCAAGAAAGGGGAAAGGAGAACCCATCTTCAAAAAGAACCCAGGGCAAGCCAGACATGGTGCATGCCTGTAATAGAAGTGCTCAGGCTGAAGCAGAATGATGCAAGTTCAAGGCAAGCCTGGACTACAAAGTGAGACTCTTGTCTTTAAAAAAAAAAAAAACAGTGCAGCCCAGGGGTCAGTAGACCTGGCTAAGTTTGAATGACATTATCATTTACCCTATAATTTAGAACAAGTTACTTAACCTTTCTGAGATGCTGGTATTCTGCCATAAATGGGACTATAGAGGACATTTTGTAGGGGTGATACTGGGAATCAAACTCATGACCTTGCACTTGCCAGGCAGGCACTGTGCCACTGAGCTCTATAAGAGGCTTTTGCTATTTATTTATTTTTATAGAAGACTAAAAAGATGAAATGCCTGGTGTGCTGGCCATTACTCTTCAGACCCATAACTTTACAGATGATAAAACTAAGATCTTTTTGTTTTGTTTTTGAGAAAGGGCCTCACTAGGTTTTGTTTTGTTTTGGTTTTTTTTTTTTGGTACTGGGGATTGAACTCACAACCATGCGCTTGCAAGGCAGGCGCTTATGCCATTGGGCTAAATTCCCAGCCCTAGCTCAGAGTCATAAGTGGACTTGTCTGGCAAGTGCTACGTCATGAGTTTGATCCCCAGTACCACACACACAAAAAGAGAGAAAGGGCTTCACTGTGTAGCTAGCCTTGATTCCACTATGTAGTCTTGGCTGGCCTCAAACTCTTGGCAGTCTCCTACCTCAGCCTCCTCTGTGCTGCTGTACACCACTACACCTGGCTGGAAACTTAAAGGTTTTAAAACACAAAGCAGCTAGATATGGTGACAGACACACCTGTAATCCCAGCATTCAGGAAGTAAAAGCAGATGGATCACCACAAGTTTGAGGTCAGTCTGAACTACATAGCCAGCTTCCATCTCAAAAATGAACAATAAAAACTTTACTGTTCTTCAAGATTTAGGCTTATGCCTTCCTGTGTAACATCTAAGATCTCCCTGCCTCTCAGGCATTTCCCAATTGTTCTCTCTGGAGTTAAAGCTCAGGCAGCTTCCAGTTACTGATTGTTGGTTCAGTAAATGAGATTCTGTGGGAGGCCCAGCTGGCAAAATACCCTACCTGGTTTGGCTCACACACAGCTCTCTTTCACCTCCAGTGCAAGAATGCTGAAGCTGGCTGCTTGGTGACATGCCCCCTGGCCCACCGCAAGGGGCATCAAGACTCATGCCCATTTGAGCCAATAGCCTGCCCCAACGAAGGCTGCTCTGCCCAGGTGTCGCGTGGTACCCTTGCTGAGCATAGGCAGCACTGCCAGCAGGGTGGCCAGCAGCACTGCCCTTTGGGCTGTGGGGCCACCTTGGGCATGACAGAGCTTGCTCATTATAACTGCTACCTCAAGCTGCGGGAGTCCTGGAGTGAGCGACAGGAGCGCAGCCAGAGGCTGCTGCAGGGACTACTGCGACGTGTACGCCGAGTGCACCGTACTTCCAGTCTCATACGCAAACAACTGGCCCAGCTCAGCCACCTCCTGGAAGACAATGCCATGCGTGAAGCTAACACACCCACAGAGGGCAGTGTTGGAGCTGAGGCATGGGGAGTGCAGGGCCAAGGTTCCTTGGAAATAGAGGGGTAAATAAATGTGGGGTCCAGGCCTGACCTACCTTGCCTTTCTGTACCACACTTTTTTTTTTTCCTTCTTGGTACCAGGAATCAAACTCAGGACCCTACACTTGCCAAGCAGGCGCTGTGACACTGAGCTATGTCCCTGGCACTGTGCCATACTCTTCTTTCACCCTTCTGACCTCCCCAGGCCTTTCTTCCCATAAACACACCCTAAGGCACTCTTTTTGAAATGAGCTTATATGTTGGCTTTAGACTAGCAATGGTCTTCCTCCTCAGCCTCCATAGAGCTGGGATTACATTTATGTACCACCACATCTGGCTACCCTGGGGCACGCTGACCTTTTTCCCTTGTTTTTGTTGTTTGGTTGGTTTTTTGTTGTTTTATTTTGCTTTTTTGGGGTACCAGGAATTGAACCCAAGACCTTGTACTTGCCAGGGGGGTAGTGTGCCACTCAGCTTTTTCTCTGGCCCTCCTTGTTTTTAAGATCTATCCCTGATACTAGGTCTTGGTGAAGCAGGAAACTGCATGGGCTCCCTAATAGGGCTGACACACAGAATTTTAGGGACAGAGCAGTTTATTTGCTGGTGTCTCTACAAGGGACTTGACTCCTCCTGAGAACTGAAAACAAAAACCTGTTTACACTTTTATATTCTTTCTTACAGGGCAGTTTTTCTTTGGGAATCAGCACAAAGTAAAGCAAAGTAGTGATGGGGGGTGGCAAATAGTGGTCACAAGCAGTGCTGTGCTACACTGACATTACCTCATAACTGTACTTAGAGGTCATCAATTTTCCTCAGGGAGCTTAGCTGTACAGTTAACCCATGGTTGCCCAGCTTCATCCCAGGAGAGGGTGTCCTCTCATTGGCATTGGCTAGTCCCTCTCCTGGAAGTTCTTCCTCTCATTCTCTACTTGCCTGCTTCTGTCTTTTCCCTCAGTGTCTTTCCTTGTACATATTTTCCTTGTCTCCTCTCCCAGTCTTCTTCCTACCCATCTGTTTTAGCATTATGATAAATGGTAGTAAAGGCTCAAATCTCTTAAGTCAGAATAAAAACAGCTCTCACTGTGGCTCAGAATTATCCTCTCTTCTTTCCCTTGCCCTTAAAGTACCTCTGGGAAGATTGCAGTCACTGGCTTGTTTTTTTGTGGGTGTTTTGTTGTGAGACAGCATCTCACTACAGTGGAGGCTGGCCTCAAACTCAAAGCAATCCTGCTTCAGCTTCCTGAGTGCTGAGATTACAGGTGTGCTCCACTATACCTAGCTGGGGTGCATATCTTTTAAATACAAAAACCTGATTTATCTTTATTCTCCCTATTCCACCATAATCCAGGCACACTTTTTCCCCCTCTTCATGTCATCCTTTTGTTTCTGCTGGCAAGAATCTGTACACCCTAAGCACACCTTTCTTGTTAAACTTCAACATGTATAGCTGCCTTTTCTTTTACCATCGAGTGTATTCTTGCAATTCTTTGTTCAATATACATTAAAAATCTGTACTCTAGGGCCAATGATATATATCAGCGGCATAGCACCTGCTTGCCCTGGCAAGGCCCTGAATTCAAGTCCTAGTACCCTCCCTAAAATATTTGGACTATCTCAATGAACCATCATACACTATATCAGCACAACTGCCAGAAACTACAGGGCTCCCTGCTTCATTGCGGTTGGCTCAGTTCAGGCAATGTATGCTTGTAATCTCAGCGTTCTCCAAGGCTGAGGCAAGAGGATTACAGGTTCAAACCACCTTAGGCAATTCAAGACAGTTTCTTTTTTTAAAAAAATATTTTAACATGCATATAATGTGTATATGCCTTTTTTTTTTTTTTTTTTTTTTTTGGTACCAGGGGTCAAACTCATGACCTTGCACTTCAGACGGTTTCAAAAACCATAAAATTGTCAGGCATAGTGGCGCACACCTGTAATCCCGTCACTTGGGAGGCTGAGGCAGGAGAGGATCATCTGAGCTTGAGGCCAGCCTGAACTACCTAGGGAAATCCTATCTCAAAAAACTAAAAGCCCCACAAAGGATGTAGGTCAATGTAAGAGCCTGAATTCAACCTTCGATTTTAAGAAAGAAAAGCAAACTGCATCCCCATCTGCTGTGCTCGCTTCGGCAGCTACATGTACCAAGTTGCATCTCTGCCTTATCTTGCGAAATCATATCCACAGTCCTAGTCATTTAGTGTAGTATTCCCTGCCTGCTCTGCCCACCCTCCCTTCTGCCCAATGGAAAGTGAGCTAGCTATAGAAGGGCAGGGATTAGTGTTACCCGAAGTCTTCCAAGCGACTAAGCAGCGTTCAGCACTCAGAAGATAATAAATATTTGAATAACTTTGAAACTACCCGATTTGATTTATTCGTTTCTTTGAATCTATTCATTCACTGACTGGCCAACCTCAGGCAGCCCCCAAACCCGAGTGCTGAGCAGCAAAAGTAAATACTAATATTGGCCCTTTTAAACTTCTATTAAATTGCCACATCACCGGTGACGTCCGTCCCTCCACACACATCTCACGCTCCAGGTACAAAACGTCTCCACCAAATTCTGCTTCAGGGCGCAGCAGTCACTGCCCACAATAAAGATGGCGCCTACGGCGCAGCGCTGATGACATCAAATGACTGCCTACTCTCAATGTCATCTCCAAGCGCCTAAGTTTGCAGCTGCACGCTATCCTCACGCGGCTGCAGTGTAGGATCGCCAGGACGTCGGCAACAATATGGCTGAAACAGTTGCCGGAGTGGGCCGCTTTAAAGCTAAGTAAGCTTGGGGCTGCGGGGACCACCTGGTGAGGGCCACGGATTTGCTGCTGGAGTAACAAGCCCCTGCAGCGCGCGTGAAGTAGTGCGGACGGTGGACTGGGGACCCTTTCAGGCCTGGGAAAGCACCTGGCCTGCAAGGTCTGGAAAAGATAGTGCCAATAGGAAGCTGGAGGGCCGCCACTAACTCAAGCGCCGGTCTTTGGTTAAGCGGCAGACTAGGTGCACCAGATGTCACGTACTTGCTTAGACGGGGAGCCCGTTTTAGTCCCGCAAAGTAGGAACAAGAAATCACAGAAGGGAAAGCCTGAGCGGAGCACAAGTCGGAGCTAGAACTGAATGGTCGCAGGATGCGAAGACCTGTCTGTGGGCAGGCGACCTGAAGAGATCTCTCTCATTGACCTGCTTCTAGGGAGAGCAAGTTCAGGAGGTGGGTGGGTCCGAAGGGAGGCATGAGAATAAACAGCCCTGACCCTAACTGTAGGTTGTCTTTTGGGATAAATCATCTCCATCAACGACTGTGCACCTTGGGTTGTGACAAGCACTAGCAAAGAAAGACTTAGTGATGCCAGCATCCCTGTTGGAGAGTTATCTGGCATGTAGTGTGTGGCAGGCAGGCTTCCTGGGAAGTGGAGTTGGCCCAGTTGGAATCTGAAGAGAGGACCAAAGTATACACAGGGCACAGGCAGAGGACAGACTTGTCACAGGGGCCAGGGCAGGAGAAAGGGGCTGCTGTGTGGGCTCAGAAAGCAAAGAAAGGTGAGCAGAGACTCTTCTAGGCAAAGTCTTAGAGATGTGTTAGGAAAAGGGAGTCTTTTAAGCAAGCTGGTGAGACAGTCAGTTGTTCTCCAGATAACTTGCAGCAGGGTTGAGAGAATAGGTAGCAGTGAAAAGGTTGGAGTGACTATCTGGAGGAGATTGCAATGGCTTGAACCAGGGAAGAGAGAAGAGGGCAACAGACAGTATGAGTGAGGTCACAGAAATGACAGCTGCTTGGGAAGAAGCATCAGGTGAAGCTAGTATTAGAGGGATCTAAGATGAGATGGAGTGGTGCTGGCCCCCAAGGGAGAAGATGCTGTCTGTCGAAGTAGTATGTTACCCTAGATTCAATTACTGGGGGATGGCCTCCCATAGCCAGCAGGGGGCACCCAAGGCCCTTTGATTTGAAGACTGCTATTGGGTTGATTTGCGTGACTCAGGCCCACCTCTTACTGCTGATAGACCCCATAAAGATCACCCACCAGCCCACAGTGTCAACTTTTTTATAACACAAGAGAACTGTAGTGCTACCTACCCATGAAGTTTGTTATTTGTCCTTCTGGGTTACTTACTGGTACCCTGGAACCCTGCAAGGGCAAGGGCTTACTGGATTTACCTCTAAGAAAGCACTCACCTCAGGAACTAGGATGTAGTAGGTAAGATAGTGGGTGATCACTTACTCCTTTGTTGTCTTCCCAGCTATGCTGTGGAGCGCAAGATTGAGCCTTTCTACAAGGGCGGGAAAGTACAGGTACCATCCCTGAAGGTGACCAGGGTAGAAGGGAAGGGAGGGTCTGCATAGGGCTGCCTTAGCTGAGACTTTGTGTCCCCAGCTCGACCAGACAGGCCATCACCTCTTCTGCATCTGTGGTAACAGAGTCAATGTCCTAGATGTGGCCTCAGGGAGTGTGCTACAGAGCCTGGAGCAGGTAAGAATAGGGTGGGCAAGGGTGAGAGGATTAGTAGAAAGGGCAGCCTGTTGTCACGGCACTCTCTTCCTGTTCTTTCCTTTAGGAGGACCAAGAAGATATCACTGCCTTTGACCTCAGCCCCGATAATGAGGTATGTGAGACAGGGGTAGAAGTCGAGCTCTGGTACTTCTGTCCTACATTGAGACATGAGGGTACCTCACCCTCAGGCTGAACTACATCTTCCATCAGGTGTTGGTGACAGCCAGTCGGGCGCTGCTCTTGGCTCAGTGGGTATGGCGAGAAGGTAGCGTTACTCGTCTGTGGAAAGCAATACACACAGCCCCTGTGGCCACCATGGCCTTCGATCCCACGTCCACACTGCTAGCCACAGGTAGGGCCCCAGCTGAACAGGGGAGCTGGAAGGAATGGGGCAGTGGCTTTGGACATATCGGCTCCCTCACCTCAAGCATATTCCTACAGGGGGCTGTGACGGGGCTGTACGTGTCTGGGATGTTGTGCAGCACTATGGAACACACCACTTTCGGGGCTCGCCTGGTGTCGTGCAGTAAGTGGGGGCAGTAGAGGGTGGGAAACAGAGGCACCATCCTTGGATGGCACAGCTCATGCATTCCCTGCCTACCTGCAGTTTGGTGGCCTTCCACCCGGACCCCACTCGCCTGCTGCTCTTCTCTTCAGCTGTGGATGCTGCCATTCGTGTGTGGTCACTGCAGGACCGCTCGTGTCTGGCCATGTTGACTGCTCACTATAGTGCCGTCACCTCCCTGACCTTCAGTGCTGATGGACACAGTATGTTGAGGTGGGTGATAAGCAAGAGCATGCAGGCCTTGGGAGGGAAAAATCAGTGGGTACCAAGGCTGAGACTCCAAAACCGAAGTGACTGTTTCTCCCTAGCTCTGGCCGTGACAAGATCTGCATTGTCTGGGACCTTCAGAGCCACCAGGCCACAAAAACTGTGCCAGTATTTGAGGTATGGGTGAATTTAGGGTAGGGCCACTGAGGGGGGCTAGGGTTGGCATAGGGAATAGCTGCAGCCTCTAAATTAGTGCATCCCCAGAGTGTGGAGTCTGCTGTGCTGCTGCCCGAGGAGCCAGCTCCTGCGCTGGGTGTGAAGAACTCAGGCCTGCATTTCCTGACAGCTGGTGACCAAGGTATGTGGGGTTGACCACAGGCTGGCCACTGGATTTGGGGTAGGCCTGTGAATCTGTGAGTCCCAGCAGCCATGTCCCTACACAGGCATACTACGTGTGTGGGAAGCAGCTTCTGGGCAGTGTGTGTATACACAGACACAGCTACCAGGCCCAGGGCTAGAGCTGACCCATTGCTCCCTGGTCCGAGCTGCTGGCCTGCTCCTCAGTGTCACTGCTGATCACAACCTGCTACTCTATGAAGCGTGCTCCCTACAGCTGCAGAAACAGGTGACCATATGTCCCTGCCCAGCCCAAGTTGAAGGGGTCAGCAGACTACTCATAAAAGACCTGGCTTATGTCATTCTTTTTTTTCTTTTCTTTTTTTCATGTCATTCTCGACCCTCCCAGTTTGCCGGGTATAGTGAGGAGGTTTTGGATGTCCGGTTTCTTGGGCCCAAGGACTCCCATATCATTGTGGCCTCCAACAGCCCCTGCCTGAAAGTTTTTGAGCTACAGACATCAGCTTGCCAGATCCTCCATGGCCATACAGGCAAGTAGAGCCCACTGATACCTCTGAAACTCCATTCTCATTTAATTATTGCCCACCTCCTGTCACCTTACCATACTGACCTCTGACTACTCCCTTCTCTTTTATAGATATTGTCCTGGCCCTGGATGTGTTTCGGAAGGGGCGGCTCTTTGCCAGCTGTGCCAAGGTCAGTCTCCTAAAAGGTGTGACCATATAGGCCCTCCAGGAAAAAAAAAAAAATGAAGGCAAAAGGACCACAGCCCAAACTCTCTCCTCAACTCCTCTTATCCCCAGGATCAGAGCATTCGCATCTGGAGAATGAACAAGGCTGGCCAGGTGTCCTGTGTGGCTCAGGGTTCTGGTCACACACACAGTGTGGGCACCATCTACTGCTCCAGGTAGTAGGGCCACAGCTGGATTCAGAGGTGTAGAAAAGGTGGAGACCTACAATTCACGGTGGGGTTCCAGCTCACAGGTTGAATGAAGAGATAGCAGCTTTGGCCTTTTTTGTTTGAAGCTGTAGCCCAGGGATATGGAACAGAAAATGAGCCTAGGTGCCATGAGAGGAGGTGCCATGAGAGGATTCTTTGGAAGTGGCCTTAGGTGGAAAAAGTGGGGAGAGCAGCATAATGGAGAGGATGGCACTAAAAAAGGTCCACTGGGAAAAGGCTACCCCTGCTAGGGCTTGGGCCCCCTAAGGGCACCAAGTTGCTGGGTATGGGACACCGAGAGTGGGTGGACATGCAGAGGACCAGAGCCAATTTGCATCCTTGGGCAGGAATGATGCCATTCCTATGATATACTGACTGTGCTTTCCTACTGGAGTGTAGGCTGAAAGAATCCTTTTTGGTGACGGGCAGCCAGGACTGCACTGTAAAATTATGGCCTCTCCCTGAAGCTCTGCTGTCCAAGAGCACAACCCCAGACAGTGATCCCATCCTTCTGCAGGCCCAGACCACCCAGCGCTGTCATGAAAAGGTAATCATTCATGGCCACTGGGGTGGGCCAAGACCTTGCTGGGGTGATGATCTGAATTACTACCTTTTCCCACCACCAGGACATCAACAGTGTGGCTATTTCTCCCAACGACAAGCTGTTGGCCACAGGCTCCCAGGACCGTACAGCCAAACTCTGGACCCTGCCACAATGCCAACTGGTGGGTGTTTTCTCAGGCCACCGACGTGGCCTCTGGTGTGTACAGTTCTCACCCATGGATCAGGTGCTAGCCACAGCCTCAGCTGATGGCACCATCAAGCTCTGGTCACTGCAGGATTTAAGCTGCCTCAAGGTAAGCAGCATCCCTTGTGGTCCAGACTCTCCTGGTGACATTTCACCAGGTGACATCTGATGTCCCCACCCCCACAGACATTTGAGGGGCATGATGCCTCTGTGCTAAAGGTGGCCTTTGTGAGCCGTGGCACACAGCTACTGTCCAGGTGAGTGGGCTAGAGGGTTTGGTGGGGGTGAGGTGGGGTGGAGAACAAGCCCTTCTCTCTGAGGCCCCGACAATCCCAAACCCAGTGGCTCAGATGGGCTCCTGAAGCTTTGGACCATCAAGAACAATGAATGTGTGCGGACACTCGATGCCCATGAGGACAAGGTCTGGGGACTACACTGCAACCAGCTAGACGACCACGCCCTCACGGGTGCCAGCGACTCCCGAGTCATTCTCTGGAAGGTTGTAGGCCCTGAGGAGAGGGGTGGCCAGGACAAGGAATTGGGATAGCTGTCTAACCCCATTCTAATCCTAGGATGTGACTGAGGCAGAACAGGCAGAGGAGCAGGCCAAGCGTGAGGAACAGGTGGTCAAGTAAGCACATGCTCTGCAGCAGCACCCCGCGCACTAAGGAGTGTCTGCATATTCCTGCTTTATGCCACAGGGACACTGAGGCTCAGGGCTGGGTTCACACCAATGGGTGCCAGGTGTAGTAGACGTCCTGACTACTCAGCCCCAGTCAGAGTTCAAGTATCCTCTATCCTTTCCTTCCCACTGCCAGGCAGCAAGAACTGGACAACCTGCTGCATGAAAAGCGGTACCTGCGGGCACTGGGCCTGGCCATCTCCCTGGATCGGCCCCATACAGTGCTGACAGTTATCCAGGGTCAGTGCTTGCCACAGGGGCAGGTTAGGGTTGGGCAAGACTCAGAACCATTGAATCCCTTCCCGGGGCTCAGACTTGCCTCTTCCCTTAGCCATTCGGAGGGATGCAGAGGCCTGTGAGAAGCTAGAAGCCACTGTGCTCAGACTGCGGCGAGACCAGAAAGGTCCTGGGCATGTGGGCAGGGGGAGGCCTGGTGGGCAGGGGAGGGTGGGAGAGCCTGGCAGGCAGGCAGGTTGACTGTCTCTACTGCCCACAGAGGCCCTGCTGCGTTTCTGTGTCACATGGAACACCAATGCCCGGCACTGCCACGAAGCACAGGCAGTACTGAGTGTGCTACTCCAACACGAGGCCCCTGAGGAGCTTCTGGCCTATGAGGGTGTGCGGGCCACACTTGAAGCCCTGCTGCCTTACACTGGTAGGTAGGCACAGCCTGGGTAGAGGAGCAGCCTGGTGGGCAGATGCACTACCTGACTTTCCTCTGTCCTCTCCAGAACGACATTTTCAGAGGCTCAGCCGAACACTGCAAGCAGCCACCTTCTTGGACTTCCTGTGGCACAACATGAAGCTGTCCCCTCTCCCTGCTGCCCCACCAGCTCTTTGATATACATAAAGTCATACTTTTCCTATCCACAGTGCTATCTTCCCCCAGATCCCTACCCACAGCCTTCATCAACCAGGATGTACCTTGACCCTTGATGATCTCAGTGTAGCAGATCACCCCACCCTGGCTGAGTTCCACAAGTGAGACCAAGTGGAGTCTTCCAGAAGTTTTACTCAAAGGAAATAGCAATTCTCTTTCCCACCATCATCCATTCCTGTCCCAGCCCTGGGGATGATACAGCTGTCTGCCATCCCAGGGATCTAGATCCTGAGCATTCTGCTTGGTGTGGGGTTGGGGTGCGCAGCCAACTTCTCTGCAGAATGAGTCCATATCTTCACTGAGAGTTCTGAGGCCCTGAGTTGCACGCCAGCGCCCTTCGTGTGATGGTACAGCAGCGACTCTGGATGACACTCAGTGGAGGGCGGGCAGGGATAGGAGGTGGACCAGTGGTAGCCTTGTTCTTCTCCCTATCAGGGATTGGTGGCCCACTCAAGAATGTACCCAGCCCTTCAGGTTGCAGCAGCACTGAAGGCAGCAGACCATCCTGGTCACAGTACCTGAAGAGTAAGGGGCATAGTCAGAGATGGCTCCTCCCCTACTCCTACACCATAGGCTGGGTCTACAAGCCTCACCCTCACGTACCTGCACAGCCACCATCCACGGTCTGAAGTTTCCAGGACCTGCACTCGTGCTCCCGCTGGCACTGACAGTTCATCAGCACGGCTGCCCTTGTAGGCTCGGGAAGCACAGAACACAGTCCCTGAAAGTGTGGGTCACAATGGCAGCAAGAGGCTAGGGGCTCTAACCTTTTCTGAGCTATCCTTCCCTGTTACCCAGGACCATTCTATAACCTACTCAGCTTCACTGCAGCTGTAGGCATCAAGCATATGCCAGTGCCTCCATCCCTATTTGGGGGCTGCCCACAGGGACCTGGGAGTAGGGGCTAGAATCATACCACTGTTTTGCAGCATCAAGCCCACCTCTGGGGCCACCTCCAGATAGGGAGCTGGAAACCAGGCCTTCTGCTGGCCTTCATTCTCCACCAGCCACCAGCCTATGCATGAGATAAAGGAGGGGTTTGGGTCCTGAGGCCAGCTCCAATCTAGGGGACAAAAAGTCCTCAGGTCCCTGTCAGCTCTACCTGAGGGGTGTCGTAGCAGTACATCCAGGCTTTCTTGGGCCTTCACATGGAAGGGCCTTCCCTGTGTGTCCTGGGTGTGGAAAGGATGCACGCAACAGAGGCTCTGAATCTCTAGGCTGTGGATATCAAGGCTGTTCACAGGGCGAGGTGAGGGCTTCTCTGGGACAGGCAGGATCACCATGCTGAGGACAGCCAGCACAAACAATATGTAGGTTGGGAGGGTGAGAATGGGCCCATCACCCCCATGAGTTGGCCTTAATCATAGCCTCTGTGTCTGTAGGCTGGGAAAGGGTGCTAAGGCACCTGCTGGGAGGCAGTGCAGATTCCAGGTCCTGGTTTCGAGGCTCAAAGAAGCTTGTAAGCACTGGGCTCCATGACACTTGGTTCACATTGGCTAGCAGTTCCTGCACATAGGTGTTCAGCAGCCTCAGACGCACCAGACCACGACCTGTGCGCCCTCCACGGGAAAGCAAGGGTGCATCTGTGGGCCCAACAAAGACGCCTTGTGAGAGCCCGCAAACCCTGATCCAGGCTTTGCCTCTCCTGCACCTCCTGGGACCCTGCCAGTCTGACCTGGAAGCTTGGGGAGAAGGCGATCAGATCTCCTCAGCAGACCTGCCTCCACTGGAAAGTTCTCCTTGAGGGTTTTCTGATGGACAGAGTAAGGTGTTAGTCTCTGAGAGCCCAGTGTACACCCAGTGAGAGTGAAGGTTACAGGGGCTGGAAGTCCACACATGGAAAAAGGGAAGCTCGTTGTCTGGGATTAACAGCCACCCTATTTGTGTGGTCCCAGGGTCACTTGCCTGGAGCTGCCTGAACTCATCCCAGCTTCTGCAAACAAAGGTATCACTGCCATCCGACCAGTGCACAGAGAAGGCAAACATCTGCATGAGGAAAGGTTGGGGGTTCCTGGAGAGGCTGAATAGGACTCATTCTTGGGGCCTGCAGAGACCCTGTCCCATCATACCTGAAGCCGCTCCATCTGCACCAGGGCTACAGCTCCGACTGACACCGGGTTCCTGGAACTTGACAACGCTGCATCTTCCATTGCTGGTGGTTCTGGAGTGTTTAAGTGGCTGAGGTTTTGCCACCTCCTTGTCCTCAAGCAGCCTCTGAGAAACTACCCGGAAAACTCTTGAGTGGAATTCCCCGCCCACGCCCTAACCTGAGTGCTGGCAGCGTTACCACTCCCCCTGGTCCTTCAAAGTTTCCCAGGAGTCTCCTCCCAAAATCCAGGGGATTCAGTCACAGGAACCCCAGGCTATAAGGGAGAGCCTAAAGTAGAGATGTGGAAGGAGGGATGAGATACTGACGTTGGAAGTGTGGAGGCAGCCTTGGATCTAGAAGGGCTTTAAAGGGATTGGAGCTGCCATCTGGGTCCCTCCACCCAGAGTATGACCTTAGGAAGGGGGAAAAGGAAGGCTCTTCAGAGCACTGCCTCACCCCTTCCCATAGGGCTCCACCACCCTTCTGGTGCAGTCTCCTGCCAAGATACACCCAATATAATATGTATCTCCTATTCCTTTCTCACTCCCTCTCCCTCTCTCTCTTTCCTTTCCGTTTCCACCACAAGCCCTGTGGTTTTTTAGTCCCAACTGCTCTATCTCTGAATTCTGTAGACCACTATCCCCTCATCATCTGAAACCAATGACTCAGTGCTCAAAGCACATGCTTTCTCCAGTTTTATCCTAATGTGAGAGGGTCTCTTAATGCCCCCCATAAGGAGAAATTTGTGTTAGATAGATACTTTGAAAGGGCTGGGAGGAAATAAATAAATAAATAAATAAATAAATAAAAAGGGCTGGGGATATATGGTTCAGTGGCACAGCACCTGCCTGGCAAGCTCAAGGTCCTGAGTTCAATTCTTAGGACATAAATACTTTTGAGATTTTATTTTTGTTTTTTTACTGTCCTAAGGATTGACCCCTCTATACTCACACAAAAGCAAATGTACTACTGATCTACTTGCCCAGCTGCTTTTTAATTTTGAGACAGACTCTCAATAAATTGCCCAGACCACCACAAATTTGCATCCTTTTGCCTCAACCTCCCAAATCGGTAGGATTATAAGTGTGTGCCACCTTGCTTGCCTAGATTTTTTTTAGTTTTTTCTGACTACATTGGGGAAAGAGTGGACCACACAGGACCACCGCCACCCCCTGGGGTCCCTTGGACTGGTGAGATTTGGGGCTTGAGTAACAGAGTCTTTTTATTTATTTATTTATTTTTATCGGTACTAGGGATCAAACTCACGACTGCCTGCTTGCAAGGCAGGTGCTTATGCCGCTGAGCTAAATCCCCAGCCCCCAACAGAGTCTATCTTTTGGCCACTTACACTTGGAGTTTCAAGAGATGGGTCACTAGGACTATTCTACGACTACTGTGAACCCATGATGTATCACAATTTACTGCATTACCTTCTCAGACCAGACCCATTATCCCATCTCTGGAATGGAGAAGGCCTTGAAATTCCTGGGCAGAGGCCTCATCTCTGGGTGCCCCACTCTATAGGCTACTTCCTTATAGTGAAGATTCCCACCTCCAACCAACCCTGGTGTGCAGTGATTCTTCCTGGTACTGAGACTACCACGTTCAGGGTGTGGCAAGTCTGTCTGTGGCATAATCTCAGTGGTAGAGCATTTGCCTTGAATGTGTGAGTATGTGAGTGTATAGGGTTTGATAATCCTTAAGACAGTTTTTTTTTTAAAAAAAAGCTCAAAATAGGGGCTGGGGATTTAGCTCAGTGGTATAAGCACCTGCCTTGCAAGCAGGCAGTCATGAGTTCTGTTTAACACAATTTCCTCTTCCTTGATTTAGGGACATTAATAAACCTTGCCAGCCAGGTATGGTGGAGCACACCTGTAATCCCAGCACTTGGGAGGCTGTTAGTTTGAGGCCAGCCTCAGCTACTTATCAAAGAGAAAGGAATTTCACTGAGCACTGAGTTATTGGTTCCTGATGAAAAGCATGGAGCCCCACAGAATTCAGAAACAGAGGTATTGACCCTAAAAAAATGGCCAAGGGAATTCCCCTACTCCACACCCTCTGGAGTGGTCAGCCCCTGGGGCATCACTCCAGGAAACTGTCTTGGCCTCAATAAAGGGCCTTTGTGTGCCCTACTGGTTGCTCCTTCTGAAGTCCTGAATGCCTCCCTGTTCTTGGCCCAGGCCACAAACACCTGCTGACAGGTGAATGCCAAGGTGCCTTCAGCACAACTGTTACCCTCCCCTCCCAACATCAAATGAGGACCCTGCTGGCCTGTTGGAGTCTAGAGAGGGACAGACCCTGTTCCTCTACATAAGGATCTAGTTTGAAGTAACTGCAGCCTTTGACCTCATTCCTCATCTGGCATACCAGGAAATACTGGTAGAAACTTAAACCCTAGAATGATGGTCAGCCAAACATTTCCTGCCAGGTAGTGACGCCAGAATGCCTCAGAACTGATACTTTACATAGTTTTTGAGAAAGTCCCTGTACATTCTAATTAGCTTGGGTGACCTTTGTGTAGCTTAGCATATAAACCTCTTTATTTTGCCTCAGAGTGTGATAATCCTGTCTGCAGCATCCAAAATGCTTTAGTCAGTAGATACTGCACTTTGGGCAATCTTGGAACTGTCTGCTTCTTCCATATTTCAGTACCTTCTATCTTTTTTTTTTTTTAGTACCGTCTATCTTTAGCAAGTGGTTCTTTTTTTTTTTTTAAGACGGGCAGAGGCTTGGTATGTAGTTCAGTCTAGCAATCTTCCTGTCTCAGCCTCCCAAATGCTGGGACTATAGATTTATGCCACCATGCCCAGCATGTCAGCATGATTTTCTTCTTGTTGTGTGGATGGATACCAGGAATCGAACTCAGACTATTGCACTTGCTAGGCAGGTGCTGCTCTGCTGAGCTAAAACTTTCTTCTCGTGATTTGTTCTTATACACATATTTTTCACAGACAACTTGGAAGATAGGAGGAGGTAAAAAGCAGTTGGAAGGCCAGATACAGCCAGAGAGCTAGAAGGATTTTGAGACTCTCTCCAACTGACAATCCTCACCAAACCTGGATTTTTCTACATTTTCCTCTCCATCACCCTTACCTTCTCTCATACAAAAATCTACAGTAGGGGCCAGGGACATAGCTCAGTGGCACCACAAGCGCCTGCCTGGCAAACACAAAATTATGAGTGTGGTCCCCAGTACAAAAAAAAAAAAAAAAAAAAAAAAACAGGCTACGCATGATGGCACATGCCTGCAATCTCAGAACTTGGCAAGGAGGCTGAGATGGGAGGATCACTGTGAGTTCAAGGCAAACCTGATCTACATAATGGCTTCAAGACTAGCCTAAACTACAAAGTGAGACCCTGTCTCAAAAATCTACAACAAAGATCCAGGTGTGGTGACTTACTTCTGTAATCCCAGCACTCAGGAGGCTGAAAGGAGGATCACTGCCAATTCGAGACCAGCCTAGGCTACAAAATGAGCTCAAATTCAGCCTGAACTGCATAGTGAGACTGTCTCAAAAAGACAAAAAAGAAAATAAAAACTACAATAACTGCCTCATCCCTGTGGAAGCAAGGGGTTCCTTGTCCCTAAGAAAGCCAGTGTGCATTTAATAACTAGAGAATCTTTGCAAAATAGAGATTAGATTAGGTCAGCCATGTGCAATGGCTCATGCTTGTAATCCTGGCAGTCAGATAGACTTGAGGCAGGAGGAGCAAAGTTTGAGTCCTACCTGGGCAACTCATTGAGACTCTGGCTCAATTTTTTTTTTTTTTTTTTTTTTAGTTTTATTTAAAGAAAGACTAAACAGGGCCAGGGATTTAGCTCAGTAGCATAAGTGCTTACTTAGCAAGCACAAGGTCATGAGTTTGATCCCTGGCACAAAAAAAAAAAAGACTAAACAAAACAGAAAATGGGTAGAAATAATACATACTTTCTTTCCTTTTTTTTTTCTTTTTTGTCTTTTTCCTTTTTATCTGTATCGGGGATCAAACTCACAACTGCCTGCTTGCAAGACAGGCACTTATGCCGCTGAGCTAAATCCCCAGCCCTAAATAATACATACTTTCAAAGAAAAAATAAACAGTAAGAAATCACTAGTTGATATTTACATATTGTCCTCTTATAAATAGTTGTTCGGGGCTGGGGATTTAGCTCAGCGGCATAAGCACCTGCCTTCAAGCAGGCAGTTGTGAGTTCGATCCCTGGTACCGATAAAAATGAAAAAAAGACAATAAATAAATAAATAGTTGTTCAAGATACAAAAGTGAAACATACAAAATGGGGATTCAAACAGTGAAACTGCAAACAGTTCTGTTCAACTATCCAATAAAAATTTAGTATTATGGTTATCAATCCTATACGCTTAAACATGCATGCAGTTATCCATATCTTCATTCATATTGGGATTAAACAAACCAAAGCAGGCTAAAATCACTCTGAACAAAGAATAATAGTATAATAGTATTGCTGGATTTCACATCATGACACCACTGGGTACTGTGGTGTCTCTTTTTCTTCAAAGTATTTGTTCATTTTGGGCTGGGGTTTTAGTTCAGCAGCATAAGCACTTGCCTTGTAAGCGCACAGTCGTGAGTTCGATCCCTGGTACCAATAAAAAAAAAAAGTATTTGTTCATTTCATCGTGCGTTATAAGATCAGTTCTCGTAAACTTTATACTACAATAGCTGCCTCATCCCTGTGGAGGCCAGTGTGCATTTAATAACTAGAGAATCTTTGCATTATACATGCATAAGTCTTAACATGTATTTCTATCCTCCTTTCTATATTAGAGGGAGAAACAAAACAAAACAAGACAAAACAAAACATATTCCTGGGGCCAGGGATTTAGCTCAGTGGCATAAGTGCCTGCCTGGCAAGTGCAAGGTTGTGAGTTTGATCTCCAGTACCACAAAAAAAAAAAAAAAAAAATCCTATAAACACATGAAATGAAAAAGACATATAAAACCATTGTACAAGAAGTTCTACCATGTCTCTTGTTATCTTCAATAGAATTGTCTATATCATCAGACATAGTATAATTGAATATAGCAGTACATAACAATATTAATAAAAACAACTTTGTTAATAGTGTAAAACTTCAAAAACAGGGCTGGGGATTTAGCTCAGGGCATAAGCACCTGCCTTGCAAGCAGGCAGTCGTGAGTTCTATCCCCGGTACCGATAAAAAAAAAAAAAACTTCAAAAACAGGTAGTGATGAAACCAGAATAGGTATCGTAGTGAACTTGTCATCTTCAGTGTAGTTGCCTATACTCTCAGACTTGATACTATCAATCGTAACAATTTTGAATAAAATCTGTCAATTCCAAACAGCAATCAAACAAGCCAGATTTAACTAAGGTCAGTCATGATAAAACAATATAAGTTAAACAGGGCTCCAGATTAAGTTAATAGGATATTAAAGATGATTACTGTTCTATTTCCTGTTATTTTTGGGATAGCTGTCTGTGCCTTCAGATCTAATGCAAGTAGACAAACTGGGACAGAATAAAATCTATCTAAACAGACCGGTGTGAATAACGGGGGTTTTAAATCCTGATACACTGTTAATAATATCTTCTGTCTGGCTCAAAATTTAAAAAAAAGTAAAAGGGCTGGGGATGTAGCTCAGGCATAAAACACTCCTAAATTCATTCCCTCAGTGCACCCTCCCCCGCCCAAAGGCATCAGGTCAAACTAGTCCTGCCCAAAACTGTACTGTACCTTCCCGCTGTTTTTAGAACAAATCCTCATTTCTATGGCTGCTGAACAAGGTCCTTGGTGGGACCTTGGCCAACTCTGGATCTCTCCCTCCTATTTCCTCCCCCAAATCCTGGCCTATTGGCCTTTTTGCTCCTGCAAAATGCCAACACCTTCTCATTTTAGAGTTGGTCTTGAAAGGGTTTCTTAGCTGATCCCCATAGTTTCACGCCTCTGCTTAATGGGTTCCTTTGCCCTGTACACAGCGCCACCTAAGTTTGTAAGTGAACATTTATTAGAGTGACTATTAGAGTGACTCTCTAGTCTTTCTTTTTTGTTGGTTTGATTTTACTTTTGGTTTTCTTTGAGACAGGCTCTTGTTTTGTAGTACAGGCTGGTTTTGAATTCAATATGTAGTGCAGGCTAGCCTCTAACAATCCTCCTGCCTCAACCTTCAGAGTGCTGGGATTTTTTTTTTCCTTATCTTGATCAATGATTGAACTATAAGCTAAGGACATAATAGATGCATATTTGTTCCTTGTGCTTCCCAGTACCTGGAGTAGTACTTGGGACAGAGTTATGTATTACACCTTTTTTTTTTTTTTTTTGTCTTTTTCATTCTTATTGGTATCAGCGATCAAACTCACAACCGCCTGCTGGCAAGGCAGGTACTTATGCCGCTGAGCTAAATCCCCTTTGTGAAACAAATGAATACGTGGGGGTAGATGAATCTTGAAGGCCGATCTCTAGTTAGATTTAATAATCCTTTATCCCTGAGAGGGACGTGGTGCTGCATGTCTGTAATCCCCTCAAATGGGTGACTAAGGCAGGAAGATGCTATAAGTGAGGCCAGCCTGGGATACATTGTTTAAGGCCAGGCTGAACTGAATAGGAAGACCTTTCTCAAAAATAAATAAATATCTTTTATCCAGCCAGGCATGATGGTGGGTACCGTAATCCCACTATTATGGAAGGCTGAGGTAGCCTTCTATAATATAAGGATATAAGGGAACAAAATTCCCAATCTACTATGTGTCTGGTATGAGTTCGTGTTCTCTAAAATCAAAGAATGACTTTTAGGAACAACAGAGGTTAAGAGCAGAAATATTTATTGAAAGCTTCTGTTTGAGAGAGACAGACAGACAGACAGAAGGGGTCCCAAGTGGGTTGCCAAAGATTATGTATTTTTTAGAGATTTTTAGAGTAAAACCATGAAGTGAGACGGGTCTAAAGTGAGGAAAATTGGAAACTTGCAAGGTAGATTGGCATGAGGTGGGACAGAGCTATGGTCAACCAATAAGTTTAATTGTTCAGGTAAAACTGACCAAATCAGGGTCAAGTGGGGAAGCAAGTCACGTAGCAAGGGAGCATTCTTATGAATCAGTGACTCCCAGCTTCTCCAGGTGATCCATATCTAATCTAAGGTTTATACTTAAGAGTGTGGTTGCATTTCTCTCGCCTTCTGTCTTGAGATCAGACCCACAGCAAGAGGTGTGCCTCTCCTCCAAGGTCACAAGACCTCTGTGCAGGCTTCCTTGAGGACCTAGCCCTGTCTGACTACCTGTAATATTTCTAATTAGCTCAGCTGCCTGTAACAGCAGAATTACAAATTGGAGCCCAGCACAGGCAATTTAGCGATTTATTGAGCCCATGTCTCAAAAAATAAAAAACAGGTTGAGGAGGCCCTGGGTTCAATCCCCAGTACTGCCAAAGCAACAATAAAAATAATAGTATGGGCCAGCTATGGTGGCCCACTAAACCCAGTGTTTGGGAAGCAGAGACAAGAGGATCGCTGAGAGTTGAAGCCAGCTTGGACTATGCAACTAGTTCAGGCCAGTCTGAACTAAATGGGGAGAGCTTGTCTTAAAAAACAAACAGAAAAGTAATATTTTGTCCAAGATAGGAGACAGCTGTGAAAGCTTGCCTCTTGAGCAACTGCTGGCCGGTCGGCATTCCCAAAGTGCCCGACCCACAGCTCCTGGGTCCTAGCGACTTCCGACCTCTGTACTGTAATACTGCACCCCGCGTTGCTATAGCGCCAACAGCAGCCAGGTGGGTGTGCTATCCAGCTCAGGGCACAGAGCTCCACCGTGGGAGAGGAGCGATGGGGAAGTCGCGAACTGCATCCCGGACCTGGCCTGGGCCTCCACCCTGGAGCTCAACGCGGCCGCGGCACTATTTACACAACAAGCTGATCTTTTACAGGAGGAAAAACGAGCGCCGCAATGGACCGCGAACGCCAAACCCGGTCAGGGAAACGAGGTTCAGAGGCCCTACTTGGGCCCGGGGTTCCGGGCCCAGCATCGCCTCGGCTGGGTCCCCCGGCCGGACAACCAGCTTAACCCAGGCTTCCAACCCTGCCTAGCGCAGCGCCCCAGCCTCAGGCTCCGCCTCGCCCCCTGGCCCCGCCGCAGGCCTGGGTTCTTGTGGGCGCGCACTAGCCCTGGCGCGCGCGCTGGTCTGGAGGCCGACCTGGCTGCCCAGGTGGAGGTTGGCCTGGCCCAGCAGGCTGTGCGCGGGCAAGATGGCGGCGCCCGGCGAGGAGGCTCGCTTTTTCCGCAGTAGTCTCTTTTCCTTCCTCCCGAATGGCACGCGGTCTGAGGTGACAGACGATCTGGCAACAGATGCGCGGGGCCGCGGCGCGGGGCGCAAGGACGCCACCGCTGTGCCCCCCACTCCAGGCCAGGCGGCGGCCCCGGAGTCGCCGGGCATCCAGGACGCCTCGCGTAGGCGACCTTGCCGGGCCTGCGTAGACTTCAAAACGTGGATGAGGACTCAGCAGAAGGTGCAGGTGCCCCGTGCGACCTCTGAGCCCTAGCTCTTGCCTTTCGCCTGTTTCGGGAGCCCAGGGCAAGCATCTTATGGGCCCATGCCCCGGGGGGTGGCTATGTCTAAACTCTGTCCCCTCCTTCATGTCTGAATTTTGTGTTTTTGGCTGCACACAGGCCCGATTCTCTTAGCACTTGTGTCTGTAGTCAGTGTGGTTCCTGCTAGGGTTGAAAAAAGGGAAACTTTAGTGTGTGAAATGATGGGGTTGGAACCAGTGCGAGGGCTACATCGAAGGGGGAATATTTGTGGGTCTCCGGTTGGCAGAATGGACTGACCCTCAGTCGGCCTACTTCCGCAGCAGGACAGAAGGTTTAGAGAAGATTGTCCACAGGATCGTGAAGAACTGGGCCGCCACACCTGGGCTGTGCTTCACACCTTGGCTGCCTACTACCCGGACCATCCCACTCCAGAACAGCAGCAAGACATGGCCCAGTTCATACATTTATTTTCCAAGTTTTACCCGTGTGAGGAGTGTGCCGAAGACTTAAGGGAGAGGTAAGCTGTGACCACTGTCTGCAGGCAACAGAACCTTAATGGGAGGGCTCTTGGCTGATGTCACAGAGCCTAGCAAAATGAATACAGAGGTGGCAGAGGACTGCCAAGGAGCAGGGACTGTCATCTGTGAGAGGATAGGTTATATAAGCTTTCTGGCTTCCCCTCAGGAGGCTGAGCTGCCTGGATTTACCCCTTGGTGCCGCTGGGTTTTGGCAGTAGTCATACTTTCAGGAAGGGCTTCCCTGATTAGTGCCTTGCTTTGCACTTATGGTGGCCTTAGGTTAGCTAGGATTACACTTTGCCTAATTTATGGAGCTGGATTGCTGGTTTAAGACCTCAGGAACATATTGCTTTGCTCCCCAGGGCCATGACATCTTCACTGAGACACCCAAGTCAAGCATGTTCCCTCATAAGTGCTTTTGGTGTTGAATGTGCAGTAGAGCTGCCAATGTAGTTTAAAGCCGGGCAACTAGAATGAGGTTTTTTGCTGAACTGGGGCACTGTTTACAGTTATGTGGTTAAGCGTGGCCTTCCCCTCTACATTCTGCCTTTCAGAGACACTAGGTTAAGGCTTCCTGATTGTTACAAGGTCGTAAAGTTAATGTCTGTTATTTAATGTCTTGCCCTGGGCATTTGTCTGGGTTTGCCAAGCTCCCTAAGTGGATGTGTGGAGCAGCCCATGAAACCATAGGGTCAGCTCTGTTTGTGGAATTCCTGTACCTTAGAGGATGAGGACATAGCCAGGTATGGCTCACTGCAGCACCCAGCTCCCTTCCCAGGAGCTGGCAGGGACAACATGACCACTGCTTTCTTCCATCATCTTTCTTGTGCTTCCTACACAGGATAGGCAGGAACCAGCCAGACACTCGAACTCGGACATCCTTCACCCAGTGGCTATGCCATCTGCACAATGAGGTGAACCGCAAGCTGGGCAAACCTGACTTTGACTGCTCACAGGTGGATGAACGCTGGCGTGATGGCTGGAAAGACGGTTCCTGTGACTAAAAGGACCACCTTGTTTGGAGAGGGATGGGACAGTAATTAAAGTGCATCTGAACTACAGCCTGTTGTGTCTCAGCAGAACAGTCCCCTGGATACTGCTCACAGGGTCACTTCCCTCAGGTAGAATACAGTAGAAACGGAGGTGCCTACTGAAAGCATTCGGTGGCCTCTGCCTTAGATGAGACTCCATGAGACTACAGGTGATGAAGACAGGACCAGTCATGCTGCCACTTGCCACTCAGCATGTGGCCACCTGCCTCAACTCCATAACATGGACTTAGTGCCCCCAAAGAAGATGGAGAGCACAATTGGGGTTCCCTGTGCCTACCTGGGATCAGGCCAGTGTGTAGCTGTGGATGCCTGCAGTGCTGTGGCCTCAATGGCCTGTGCTGTTGTAGCTTCTGGGTTTTATTATTACCAAGAATTGAATTCATGACCTCACACTTGCCAGGCAGGTGTTTGTGCCACTGAGCTAAATTCCCTGGCCTTCACGTTGCTGTTTCTGGAATGAGGCCTACCCTGTGTTTAGTGTCGTTAGGGAAAGCTCAGGCAGAGATTTTTTTCTGAGGATCCCGCTCATGCTACTGACACCCTGGCAGGTACATGGCCTTTCATAGCAATGGCAAGGCTTGTCTGAAGATCATCCTTGGGGCAGCTTCCTTAGAGTTTTGAGACCAAAATAAAATGCTGGGGAAATGACTGAAATCCTGTTTTCAGTGTGTTTTGTTCTGGAACTTGCAGTGATGGGTAGGGTCTGCTCTTGTCCCCCTAACCCCTGATTTTTTTTGAGAGAGGGTCTTACTATGTAATTCAGTCCTATGGATTTGTGGCAGTCCTCCTGCTTCAGCCTTTTGAATGCTAGGATTATAAGCCTGTGCCACGATGCCTGGCTCTTGTCCTTTTCGGCTTGGTTGTGTTCTATCTGGGATTCTGGCTTCTGAAAGATACAGGCCAGTATTATCCCAGGAATAGCATATGGGAGTTGTTCTTTACACCAGTGAAACAGAAAAGGTGATGAATTAAGTTTGGGGGACCACCAGGTATGATAGCACACACCTTTAATTCCAGCACTCAGGAGGCTGGGACAGGAGGATCATTGCTAGTTGGAGACCAGCTTGGGCTACAAAGTAAGCTCAAGGCCAGTCTGAACATAGCATAGCAAGACCCTGTCTGAAAAAAGACAAATTTGGGGTGACCTAGACCCTAAATTTTCTCAGCACCATGTTTCCCCAGGCCTTGGCTCCCAACCAGAGTAGCAAAGTAGCACTGTGTGCCCCTGTCCTGTGATTGTAAAACCCAGGGTGCTTTTATCCCTGTGATGTCAGCCTTTCCTAAAAGAAGACTCAACTTTGTTTTTTGTACTAGAGAGCGAACTCACGACCTTGAGCTTACCAGACAGGCTCTTATGCCGCTGAGCTAAATCCCCTGCTGAGACTCAACTTTGGCATAGCTGCCTGTTCCTTAAGCAAAAGAGTTAAAGTACCTCTGTCTGAGGAGCCCCATTGCAGGTGCTGCCCAGAAGAGGTAGGTGACACAAATGAGATAGGAGATGCCAACAGAGAAGTTGCTCATCCTTCCTCCCCTCTTCTCTGTGACTTTTCTCAAGGCCTAATGCAGCTTATTGCACATTTGCTGAGGATTCATCAGGTGCCCTCTGGAAGCTGTGAAGCTGTGTTCAGTTGCAGATGCGACACCTGCGTTTTTTCTTTTTCTTTTTTTGTACTGGGCATCAAACTTCTCAACCTGGCACTTGCTAGGCAGGCACTTTGTGCCACTGAGCTAAGTCCCCAGCCAGAACCTTCATTTTTTTCCTAACTGGTTTCCCCAGAGTCAGTGCCTGTCTGTGTCTTATACATACACACACACTTCACCTTGGACTTTTCCCTGGGTTTCTAGGCTAACACAGTGCAAGAGAAGGTTCTGGGTCAAGTTGGCATTTGAGGGCTGCCAGCATCTAGAGTTAAGGGAGCCATGACCTGGGCCACTGAGGCTCAACAGGTCTGGCAGGAGAAGGCACCTGAAAAGGGCTGCCAAGAAAGGGTACAAGAAAGATGGGGATGAAGCTTAGTGGTAAAGTACTTGCCTGCATGCAAGAGAGTGACATCTATAAGTGTACTCTGGAGAGAAGGGGCCCACAGGATCAGACATACCCTTTTGACTGGCAGGGGGAAGTTATTGGGGTTTCAGGGAGACGGAGGAGAGGTGTTGAAAGCAGAGGATGATAACTCCAATGTGCTGCTAAAGGAAGCAGAAGTGGCATCAAGAGCTGTTTGTTTTTTCAAGTGCAACATGTTGGGATGCTAGTACAAATGACATGAGGGAAAGGGAGAACTGGCGAACAGGAAGCTTACAACTGACAGGTAAGGGGGATGAGACCAGGTATGAAGTATACCTGACATGACAAAATGGTAGTGGGCAGCCCCTGTGGCCACATCTGTCCTGCCTACTAACCTATTTCTAGGCCGAGGAAGTTTGAGACAAGAACTAGTGGGTCAGACATTGCTTCATGTCCAAGCTTACCTCTGAATGCATTAACATTCCTTCCTATACCCCTTCAGTAAACCACTCAGTCTGGTGGTCAACTAGTGCAGCCTGCTTATCCCTGCACTGATCCCAGAAAACCAGAGATGCAAGATGGGGGGGCCCTTCCCATGACAAATACAACACCCCCACCCCGTCCCTGCCTTCTACCTTCTCCAGAAAGGTCAGACAGGAAAATGACCTGTTGCCAGAGGCATTTCTTGGGAAAAGGGGTCCTGTCACCAGGCTCAGGGATTATAGGTGACTCAGTAAAAAGTTCCTTATCTATCTGCTTTTCTTTTTTTTGGCACTGGGGATCCAACAATTACCTGGCAAGCGCTTGAGCTGCTGAGCTAAATCCCAGGATGCTTCTTCCCTCTTAATTCCAGTACTTCAGTCATAAATGAATCCTTACAGGATATGAACGAATGAGAAGGACTTTTGGAAACCACAACCTGGTCCAGAAGAAGTGTAGAAATACCCAACACGCAACCATTTTGGCCCCTTTGGTCTCTGCCTCCCACACAAATGTCCCTGTGAGCAGAGGCCATTCTTCCACCTGACCAAATCTAGACCCTTTTGAGAGAAACTGGGGTGCAGAGGGATTATAGAAAAGTCACCTACCTCTGTCTTTTGGGGCCAAGAACAGAGAGTCAGCTGTCTCTCCCTACAGACAGCGGGAAAGATGCTGGGGTCTCAGTTTCCCCTTCTGCACTCACTTGCCTTTCTGTCCCTGCTTCCCCTCCCCTGCCCCAATGGGGACCTGGTGGTTAGCCACCAGAGCTTCACCACCACGCCGGGGACCGCAGGCGAGGTGGGCAGGGTGGACGAAGGGCAGGGCCCAGCTCCGCGCGTGGACCCGCGGGGGGCGCTGGTTTGGCCCGGCCCCGCCCCGCGCGCCCCCGCCGCGCGCTCCCGGGAGGCGGCGGCGGCGGCGGCGGCAGTATCCAGAGCATCAGCGGTCTTGGCAGCAGCCCGGCAGCCTCGGGCGGGGCCGGCCATCGGGACGACCCACGGACAGAGGTCGTCGGGGGCGAGTGGCCCCCCAGGCCGGCCATGGAGGGCTCCTCATTTGGCGCGGGCCGCGCAGGGGCTGCCCTGGACCCCGTGAGCTTCGCGCGGCGGCCACAGACCCTGCTGAGGGTCGCATCCTGGGTGAGTGGCCCTGCCAGGCCCCCTCCCCAACTCCTTCGTTCCCCCACCCGACTCCCAGCCCCTTGCCCCAGCCCTGACCCTCGTCTTCCCCTCCGCCAGCCCCTCCCCCGCCGGCCCCAGGTTGAGGTGACGTCACTGGGCTGGGCGCGCCCACCTGCGGGCGGGGGAGGGGCTGGCAGCAACCCGGAGACCTTGAGAGGTCACCGCCGGTCGCCCCCTTCCCCCGATTCCGTCTTAGGTCTAACTCCAACCCCTTTCCTCAGCCTTCTCTCCGTTTTTCCTGCTCTCACGACCTGGAAGCGGGCACCGGGGTGGGGACGCTCTGCCTCAGCACGATGAAGGCGCTAAAGGAGCCGAGAGAGATCAGGAAAGGCGCCCCTCTTTCCCGCACACACAACTGCCAGGCTCCTTTGAAGGCAGTCGGCCCTCCTCAAGTCCCCCAGATCTGGGTGAGATTTAAAGGAGGGGTCTCCGCACTGAGAGGGCTTCCTGAAGGAGGTGCCAGGTTTGAGGCAGTCTGGACCCAGGCACTTGCCTTGCTCCTCCTCTTCACCCTTCTAGGAAGGAGAGACCGAGTAGAGTGCCTAGTTCTGGGTTTTAGATGAGGGCGGTGCCCAAAGAGGGGCAGGGCCCCGGCCTTCCCTGTGAAGTGACTGACTAGACCAGCAAGCAGGAATCCTGCGTTCTGCCCCAGCTCTAGTCCCGACTTGTGGACTCCGTAGGGGGACATCTCCATGCCCTACTTGCCCCCTTTACTGGGTCTCTCAGAGATGGGGGAGGAAAAGAGCAAAATGATGAAGTTGAGGCAGGGGTCAGTTCTTGGAAACACAGAGCTGTGCAGAGTTAAAGAACAACATCAGTTTTAAAAGAACCGTGACCCACCTGATACCTGCCTCCCCAAACTGTGTGCAGAAATTACTGAGATTGGGCTGAACTCTAAAGGTCAGTGATGTCACCTTTTGTACACACTCTGCTGATATTAATCAATTCCATGGGAAACATCATTCCTCAGGTACCCACCACTTTGGAAGATGTAGAGGTTCTCTCACCCAGCCCTCTGAACACTGGGCTGTTTACCAAGGCACACATATCTGCCAGATGCTGAGGGCACGTTCAATCCTGGGCCTGGCCTACACTTTTGTACGGCCTCCCTTCCCCACACCCTCCAATCTGCAATCCTGAACTCACGACTGATGTGAAGACTCCTGTTCCACACTCTGGAGTATGCCCTGAATGGACGTTATAGTCCCTAGGTGGTATAGAGGAGCTGATTTGAATCTCTTCCCTGACTCTGATAAGCCAGATGACCCTGGACAATCCTTTCAACTGTTGGAACTCTGTACCCCCACTGCAGAGGGGATAAGAACATTGTAGCTGCTTTGTAGCTAGCTCAGGAAGAAATTTCTGACCATAAAACAGTGGCATTCCATGGGTTTTCGGAGGGTTGCATTTAAAAGTAGTGGTGTTAGCACAGTACGTGGACCAGGCAGATGCTCACTAATTGGTTCATGTTGTCCATAATTACTAAATACAGGAAGGATGGGAAAGATAGGTCCGGTACTGCAGAGGAACGCGGGCGCACGCCCGGACACCTGGGTGCTAAAGGGAGGAGGGCCTCTGCAGGCCTTGAGCAGCACCGCCCCTGCCCGCAGGTGTTCTCCATCGCCGTTTTTGGGCCTATAATCAACGAGGGCTACGTAAACGCCGACAGCGGCCCGGAACTGCGCTGCGTCTTCAACGGGAACGCGGGCGCCTGCCGCTTTGGCATCGTGCTGGGACTTGGGGCTTTCCTAGCCTGCGCCGCCTTCTTGCTGCTGGACGTGCGCTTCCAGCAGATCAGCAGCGTCCGGGACCGTCGCCGCGCTGTGCTTCTAGATCTAGGCTTCTCAGGTAGGCCGGGCCAAGAGGGGCGGGGCAAAGAGGAGGGCTGGGCCAGGAGGGGCGCAGCCTGGCCCCCGTGTGCCCGCGGGCTTCAGGGGCGGCGGACCCAGCTCTTGCCTTGGAGGGATCAGCGGTAGGCGATGGCTGCGATGAGCCGGCAGGTTAAGTGTGCCTCGCTGGACCCTATGGCCTCTGCCTGCGGAGTCTGGCATCCTGGGGTCGACTCCAGACCCGGCAAAGCGAGGTGCACCGTGGACCCTCGGTGTCTGCGGGTGACAGATCACCCCTGGCTGCGGCTGCCACCCTTAGGTCTCTGGTCCTTCCTGTGGTTCGTGGGCTTCTGCTTCCTCACCAATCAGTGGCAACGCACTGCGCCAGGGCCCGGCACTACACAGGCTGGGGACGCTGCGCGAGCTGCCATCACTTTCAGTTTCTTCTCCATCCTCAGCTGGGTAAGTATGGGCCCAGGGGGCAGCAGGGGACAGGGACACTTCAGCTGGCCCGACTGATCTGTGCCAACCCCCACAGGTGGCGCTTACCGTGAAGGCCCTGCAGCGATTCCGACTGGGCACGGACATGTCACTCTTCGCCACAGAGCAGCTGGGCACTGGGGCAGGCCAGGCCTACCCTGGCTACCCAGTGGGCAGTGGTGTGGAGGGCACCGAGACCTACCAGAGCCCACCCTTTACCGAGACCCTGGACACCAGCCCCAAAGGGTACCAGGTGCCCGCATATTAGCGGCTGGCAGGTGCAGGCAAGGGCTCAAAAGCCACCCCGGCAGTTCAGGCCCCAAGACCTCCTGGAGCCTCCCTCAGGTCCTACCCACCCAGCACCAGGGATCCAGGGGATGGCTACTGTGGGCTTCCATGCACCAAGTGAATGGAGCCCCTCTGGGGCTCCTGGGCTGTCCCCACCAAGCTCCCTTAGCAGAAGGGTACAGACCTGATGTCCTGAAAGAGGGCATCACAGCCTGGGGTGGGCTGCAGAAAAAGAGGCAGTCCCTTCATGGGCCAGGCAACCTGGGGCTTACCTGTCTATTCCAAGGTCAGAGGTACCACTGCTCTACACTGCCTGGTGCTGGGCTTCCCAGGATCAGGGGTAAGGACACTGACCTCACCCTGAGGCCAGAGATTGTGACCACTGGTCCCCATCCCCGGTCCTTATGGATAGTGACTACTTTTGCTGCTGTCTTGGTTTGCCCTCTCTGGAGCCACCCTCAGTTTCGACTCATAGACTCTAGAGCAGCCTGGCCTGTTAGTGTTGTTGTGATTGTGGTCAAGTCTTACAGTTTTATCTTATAATACCCCATAAGTTGCCCCTCTCTGTGGGCCATTCTGACCAGGAAGGCATAAGACAGCTGTGGGCCTGGGCAACAGCCCTTAGGTAAGACCTTGCCAAAGTGAAGAGTAGAACCTGGGTGCCAGGCAAGACATGCTTCTGTATAGGAAAGAGTCCTGGAGCTTCCACCTGCCAACAGTGGCCTTGGAGACAGCCATTCCTGCAAACTGTCTTACCTTGGCTTCCTGGACCAATTTGTCCTTCCCTACCCTGTACCCTGTTTTAAGGCCCAGCCTCATGGGGGTTCCCGTGCGTAGCTGACTATTCATGCATTGCACAAAGCTGGCTTTTCACATAAAGTTAAATCAGACATGTTGCCATATTTCATTCTTACAGACAGATGCCTCCCTCTGGAGTTGCAGTTGAGTGGTATCTATACATTGTAGCATAGAACAATTATTTAAGTGATATTTAAGTGAATATGTTTACAGTTTTTGTATATATGGATCTCTCTTCTGAAAGAACAATCCATGATTGTGTATTTTTAGTGACCCATATTCTGACTGCAACTTCTTTACAATAAAGATTGTAAATGCATTGACTGTGATCCGGATCCTCCTGGAATAATTTCTAATTCTACCCTTTCTGGTTCCAGGGGCAGGAACCTTCAGGCCCAGAATACAGGAGTGGGTAGGGAGGTGGAGGCTGGCCTGACCTCCAGGTTTTGAGAACTCCAGATCCAGAGTGAATCACTCTGGTCTGGATAAAAACTCTCCAACTCAGAGCAGGCTTTCTGTGATGCTGACGATGAGACAAAGACCACCATGAAGACAAGGGGCTAGTGAACTTCTGCACCTTAACTCAAGGCTTACTGTTATTCTTTAAAAGTATGATATGTGTGGGGCTGGGGATTTAGCTCAGCAGCATAAGCACCTGCCTTGCAAGCAGGCAGTCTTGAGTTCGATCCCCGGTACTGATAAAAAGGAAAAAGACAAAAAAAAAAAAAAAAAAAAAAAAAAAGTATGATATGTGTTCTTCTGTGCCCCTTACTCTCCTTCAAAAACCAAGTGTATAGAGCTAGGCATGGTGGCTCATGCCTGTAATCCCAGTACTCGGAAGGCTGAGGCAGGATGGCCCTTGCAAGTTCAAGACCAGTCTGGGCTGCAAAGTGAGCTTAATGCCTGCCTGAATTGCATAGAGAGACCCTGTCTCAAAAAGACCAAAAATAAATAAATAAATAAATAACAGCAACCAAAAAAACCCCAGGTGTATCATTAAAGCCAGGATGTCCTGACTGCAGTGTCTCTCCAGGAGTAAACCAAGTGAGAAAATAATATTCTTTCTTTCTTTTCTTTTCTTTTTCTTGAGACAGGATCTCATACTGTAGGGTAGGTGTGTGCCACCATGCCTGGTTGAGAGAATACATTTTTTTTTTTTTTTTTGGTACTAGAGATTGAACTCACAACCTCACACTTGCCAGGCAGGCACTTATGCACTGAGTTAAATCCACAGCTGAGAGAATAAAATTATTAGGGATTATCACAGAGAGATAGGGAATAGAAAAACCTCCCAGGTTCTTAACTCATTAAAAGTGTGGTTTATACCAGGCATGGTGATGTATACCTATAATCCCAAACTCTCAAAATTGAGACAGGAGGATCACTGTGGGGTTTTTTTTTTTGTTTGTTTGTTTGTTTTTTGTTTAGTACCAGGGATCAAACTCACAACCTTGTGCGTGTCAGGCAGGCACTTAAGCCACTGAGTTAAATCTTCAGCCCTGATCACTATACTTTTAAGGCCAGCCTGAAGTGTATAGCAAGAACCTGTCTCAAAAATGCAAAATAAACCAGGTGTAGTGGTGCATACCTATAATCCCAGCGCTTGGGAGGCTGAGGCAGGAGGCTTGTTGCAAGTTCAAGAGCAGCCTGGGCTACAAAAGTGAAGTTCAAGGCCAGCCTGAACTGCATAGTGAGACCTTGTCTCAAAATACAAAACAAGGGGCTGGGGATTTAGCTCAGCAGCATAAGCGCCTGCCTTGCAAGCAGGCAGTCGTGAGTTTGATCCCTGGTACCGATAAAAACGAAAAAGACCAAAAAAAAAAACCTCCAAAAACCAAACAAAACTCCACAAAATGAACACAGCTCATGGTTTGTTTTCTTCTGAGACAGAACTTTGCAAACTGCTTTTTCTAAAGCAGCCAGATCTGGTAACAGCAGATCCTTGTAATCCCAGTACTATGGAAGCTGAGGCCAGAGGATCCCAAGTCTGCACCCAGTCTGTGTAACTTAGCAGGACCCTGTTTTATTTTGTTTTGTTTAAAAAGAAGGACTGGGGATATAGCTCAGTGTGAAAATCCCAAGTTCACAATACTGCAAATAAACCAAATACTAGCAGTTATTATTCGCATTATTGAAGATTACACCCAGGCATCACAAGCTGTTTGTTTGTTTGTTTGTTTGAGACAGGGTCCCGCTATTTAATTCGGATTGGCCTTGAACTCACTATGTAGCCTAGGTTGGCCTCAGACTGACAACAGTCCTCCTGCCTCAGCCAGTCAGGTGTTGGGATCACAGGTGTGCGCCACCATGCCTAGCCACCAAGCTTGCTTGCTTATTTATTTGTTTGTTTGTTTGTTTATTTTAGTACTGGGGATTGAAGTACTAGGGCCTAGTACTAGTATTTAGTACTAGGGCTTTCATATAGAGCTACATCCCATATGCCTTGTTTTTGTTACTTCCTTTATAGCTAGGACACAATAATTGACACAACTAAAAAAGGAGAAGATTATTTTGGCTCACAGTTTCTGCAGGAGTCCATGGTTGGCTGGCTCCAAGGCAAGACAACTCACCAGAGGCTCAGGGAAGTGGCTTGTGGGATGGTAGACAGGAAGCAGAGAGCAAGGAAGAGCAGAACCAGGGAGGGAGACAAATACTTCCTGACCACAGCCCTAGTGAACCAACTCCGATGACCAGGCCCCATCTCCTAACAGCAAGTCAGTTACTATAAACCCCATAGTCCAATTACCTTCCCCAATCCCCACCTATGGCCATATGAGGTTTTGGGGAGATATCTACATATAGACCTTAACACTCCCATTTTATTCATTTTCAGAGCCCTACTAAGCCACTAGGTTGTCAGCCTGGGCTCAAATCCCAGGCCTTTTGAAATTTTTGTGAGCCAGACATGGTAGTACATAGCCATAATCCCAGCACTCAGGAGGCTGAGACAGGAGGTTTGCCAATTCTGAGGCCAACCTGGGGATTTAGTGAAACACTGTCCCAAAATAATTTTCTTGGAGACAAGATCTCACTGTGTAGTTCAGGCAGGCTTTGAAATTGCTACAATTCTCCTGCCTCAGCCTCCTAAATGCTGGAATTACAGATGTACACCATCACATCTAGCCATCCATTTCATTATTTTTTGATCTTTTATGGATTTATAAACATTTTTCATGTATCTTGAAATACATGATTAAACTCTGAAAAATCACGTGATCTCTCACTTGGCCTAGCTTTGTCTGCCATCCTTGCCATATAAGAAATTTTTTTTTGTCTTTTTTGAGATAGGATCTTGCTATACAGTTCAGGCTGGCCTTGAACTTACTATGTATCCAAAGTTGGCCTCAAACTCACAGTGATCATCCTGCCTCAGCCTCCCAAGTGGTAGGACTATAGGCATGTGCCACCACACTTAGCTCCTAGGTTTTTTAAATCTTGCTTTTTCCTCTTTTTTTTTTTTTTTTTTTTTTTTTTTTGTGGGGTACTGGGGATCAAACTCATGACCTCACACTTGCCAGGCAGGCACTTGTGCCACTGAGCTAAACCCCTGGCACACCACCTCCTTTCTGCCTTTTTCTTTGGACAGGGTTTGGTTAAATTGCCCAGACTAGGGGCTGGGGATTTAGCTCAGTGGCATAAGTGCCTGCCTTGCAAGCAGGCAGTCGTGAGTACGATCCCTGGTACCGATAAAAAGGGAAAAGACAAAAAATATAAAATAAAAATAAATTGCCCAGACCGGGTTCAAATTTACAACCACCCTGCTTCAGCCTCCCAGAGTACTGGAATTATAGACATGCGCCACCATGCCTAGCACAGCTATGCTTTTTTTTTTTTTTTTTTTTTTTTTTTGGTCTTTTTCCTTTTTATCGGTACCAGGGATCGAACTCAAGACTGCCTGCTTGCAAGGCAGGCGCTTATGCTGCTGAGCTAAATCCCCAGCCCCACAGCTGTGCTTTTTATTTAAAAAAAAATGGGCGGGGTATCAGGAATTAAATTCATGACCTCATACTTGCCAGGTAGATGTTGTGCCATTGAGCTATAGCCCCAGCATTTTTTGTTTGTTTGTTTGTTTTTAGTACTGGGGATTAAACTCGCAACCTTGCACTTGCCAGGCAGGTGCTTATGCCGCTGAACTAAATTCCTGGCCCTCTGCTATACTTTTCAATCCTGTACTAGGAATATTTTCTTCTGAATGCCAAATGTGTCATGACATATGTCTGAAATCCCAGTTCAAGGCCGGTTTGGGCGATATATAGCAAGACCCTATCTCAAAAAACAACAACAACAACAAAAAGAAAGAAAGAAAGAAAGAAAGAAAGAAAGAAAGAAAGAAAGAAAGAAAGAAAGAAAGAAAGAAAGAAAGGAAGGAAGAAAGAAGGAAAGCAAAGCAAAGCAAAGCAAAAGCAAAAGCAAGAAAGAAAAAGAAATATTTTTTCTGGAGTTCCCTGTGCTCCTCCTGTTCAGTCTCAGGTTTTGGAAATCAGAACAGAATGTATACAGGTTTAGTAGCACTGTGAAATTTGGTTTTCAGTATTACATGTTAAGTCCATTTTGAACTCTGAAGCTATTTTTTGTACTGTTCTAGAATTCTATTTTGTTTTTGGTGTTTTTTTGTTTTGTTTTGTTTTTTGTCTTTTTATCGGTGCCAGGGATCAAACTTACGACTGCCTGCTTGCAAGGCAGGCGCTTATGACCCTAAGCTAAATCCCCAGCTCCTAGTTTTTTTTTTGAGATAAAAAACAATGGCCTTGAGAGTGGGGTGTGGTGGCTCATGCCTGTAATCCCAGCACTTGGGAGGCTGAGGCAGGAGGATTGTTGCGAGTTCGAGACCAGTCTGGGCTACAAAGTGAGCTCAAGGCCAGCCAGAACTGCATAGCTAGACCCTGTCTCAAAATGGCCTTGAACTATGTAGCCCAGACTGACCTCCGTCTTGTAGTGATCCTCTTGCTTTAGCCTCCCAAATGCTGGGATTACAAGCATGCTACACTATGCCCAGCTGTCCTACGATTTTACATTTCTGAGAATGATAATAGACAGATTTCAATTCCTTTATTTTTTTAACTTTTTTTTTTTTTTTTGTCTTTTTTCCTTTTTATTGGTACTAGGGATCGAACTCACGACTGCGTTTGCAAGGCAGGCGCTTATGCCGCTGAGCTAAATCCCCAGCCCCAACTTTTTGTTTTTTTAAGACAGAGTCTTAGTATATAGTGCAGGCTGGTCTTGAACTGGTAGCAATCCTCCTGCCTCAGCCTCCCAAGGTGCTGGGACTAGAGGTATTTACTACCTTGCCTGGGTTTTTTTTTTGTACCAGGAGTTGAACTCACAACCT